GAGCAAATCACATATGTAACAAAATAAAATCTTCTCTTTCTTTTTTAGTTTTTCTCTCTATTTCATAGTGTATCAATTTAAATTCTTCAATCTCTGTGCTTTTTCTCCGACCTTCGCTCCCCCCCCCCCCCCCCCCCCCCCCCCCCCCCCCTTCTTTACGTTCTTTTATTTTATCTTTTATCTTTTCTTTTTCTTTTTTTAATCAAAACACAAAAATAAAATATATATTAAAAAGGACAAAAAATGGTATTCACATAAGTATTATATTTTTGTGAATTTTTAAATAAATATTTAAAATTTAAAAATTTTAAGCGAGTTTGCATACTTTTAAAAACTTTCAATAAAGTAACTGAATTCAATCTAATATGTCCATATGGAGACTTTAAAATGTTTTCGACATTATTAGTTTGAATCTACATTTTTACTTTTGTCTATGTATTTTTTTTTATCATTGTCCTTTCTTTTTTCGTTTTACTTGTTCCACACAATTTTTTTGCATATTTTATTTCCTTGTAGTTAATGCTTTATAAAGTGGGAGAAAAATTACATTCCATCATAGTTAGGATAAGCATTCGAAATCAATTCACTTTTATATATCATAGTACAATTCATTCTCTTAGACTAATTATATCTTTTAATCCATTCTTCTTAAAGTATAACACATGTTATTCATAAGTTCTTTTTTTTTTTTTTAATTCTACTTAAATTAATTATTCATATATATTTTTTAATTTTTACTTTATTTAATTTGTATTTTTATATTTTAGAATTTAAAAATACTTATATGATAATAATATAGTAAATTTAAACCTAAACTCTGGAAAAAAAATCCATGCTCCAGGAACATATGGTCCCCAAAAAAAAAAAAAAAAAGTGGAATATGGATAAAAATAAGAATAGTGTAAAAATATTATTTTAATTATATTTAATAAAAAGAACACCATGTTCTCGTATTACGTGATCCTGGTACTAAAAATATTTCCCTATCCCACAAATGGGTAGAGAGCCAATTATTGGTTAATAGTAATATGAGAAAGTATAAATAAAAGATAATTTTATTGAATATCATTTTATTTCTGAATTTGATGTTTTTCGTGTTTTCTTACATAATTAAAAATGTGTGTGTAGCATATTACCATATAAATAAAAGATAAAGGATTTCTAAGATTAACGGAGTTAAGTTATTTTCGGATAGCTCAAAATAATATTGTTTCAGGGCAAAAATCAATATATTTTTATTATTCTAATATATTGCAGGGTTATATTAATCTTTATCATTCTAATTTTTTAATTTTATAACCACAAAATAACGTCGTTTTGAACTCACTGGAGATAATTTTACATTCAGTGACTAGAGAAATATTTTTCTAATAAATAAAAGAGAGAAAAAATAAATATTGATATCACGTATTTTTATATGTATTGAAAATAACTTTATCTCTTTAAAAATATTAAACTCTTTATTTTTTTGAGTAAATATCATTTTTGGTCCTCAGTAAATTTTACGATGCCCGCTTTAGTACTTAGAAAATAAAAAAGTTATTTGTGGTCCCTAAGAAATTCAAAATAGACCCATTTAGTTGAAATCGTGATCCCTCACAAATTCAAAAAAGATTCACATTAGTCTCTTAAAGGACTAAAATGGATCCACTTTGAATTTATTAGGGACCACAAATGCCTTTTTATTTGTTAGGAACTAAAGCGAATATCATAAAATTTGGTGAGGATCGAAAATGATATTCAGGGAGGTGTATTGGATTGGGATTTCAAAGGATTTTAATGGATTATTTTTGGAAAAAAAATATGTTGGTATTCGATAAGAATTTTAATGGATTGAAAAAAAGTATGTGGTATTCGATTAAGATTTTAAAGAATTATTTTAGAATCCGTCCAAATCCGTTGGTATTCAATCAGGATTTTAAACAATGAAATCATAATCTCGTGGTATTCAAAAATCCGACGATTTTAATAGATTTTCTATTGGTGTGGATTTCGTGAGACTTTTTAGTGAAAAATATAAATAGGATGCCTCTCTCACAATCTCACCCTTAACCCGTAGGATTTCTTGAGATTCTTCTATTGCAGTGTTTTCTTCTTTCTTTGGCAGGTTAACTGCTCGAAATTGGGTTCCGCCATAGGAGCTTCATCAAAACTAAAAAAAACATATTTTTGAGGCATTTTCATCACAAAACAACCCAGAAACAACAAACCAACGAGATTTTAATATAATATATCTCAAAAATAACATATTTTTGAGCCATTTTTGAGAAATTTTGGAAGTTTAAAAATTGTTTTTTCAAGCTATGGGTCGCGATTTTTCTTGACACAAAAAGTGTGATTTTTGTATTAAAAATAAAACAGTGAAAAAATAACAGGGGAACGCCCGGTCATTGACCCGGTCGAGGTACCGGGTCACTGGTTCAATCGGTGGGTTACTGGTTCAACCGCATGACCCGGTAATTATATGCAATTTTATAATTTATATTAAAAAATTATAAACACACTCAAATATCTTAGCAAAAATGACAAAAAATTCAAATATTTTAATATAAAAAAGAATAAATCACATATTATTATACAATAAAGGATCAAACAAAAATATAATGATCGTGATACATGGCTTTAGGTTCAGAAAACGACATCTCTAACTATAAATTAAATCGAAATTTTCTGCATAGTGCATAATTAAGATAATATTAGTGTTGTAGGTACATAGCTTATGTAAGTTAATAATAAATAAATATATTTAAATATGTCCATTATGATTTTTTTTTTTGAAAAAAAAATTGGAATTTTTTTGGGACCGGGTCACCGGTTAACCGACCGGGTCACCGATTTTCATGAAAACCGGCCGGGTCGGACCGGGTCGCACCGGTTCTGATGCATGGTCGGTCAATTGCTTGAACCAGACCGGTTATATGACCGGTTTACCGGTTCACGGGTCGACCTGGCCGGGTCAGTTCAGCTTTAATAACACTGCCTCAAACCAATTTTCATTTTACAACAATGAAACAATATCAATTTAAAGAAAAATTGAAACTTTCATAATATGAACCCTATATTTCGTAACAATACATTCATGAACGAAATTCCTTCACTATAGGAAACGATTTCAAACAATTTTTGTGTCAATAGATAACTAAAAACTTGTTTCTCAAAAGCCTCAAAGCAATTTAAGGTTTCAATGTATCGACTGAAAATTTTTTGAGAAATTTTCTAAACTTTCATGTAATTAAACCCAAAATTTCAGATTCAAATTTTTTTTAGAATATTAAATGAAAATATGCATATGATATATGGTTAGAAAATTCTCATCACGTAAAATAAAAACTCCAAGATTTTCAAGATCAATTGCAAAAAATTACAAACGAAATTTTATCAAGAACTTTAGGTTCTATATGCAAATTTAGAATTATTTTTAGAATTAAAAAAATTGGGTCTTATAATCATATATGCATAACTTTGATACCAAATGTAGAAAATAATTTTCAACCCATTAGATATGTGAAAAACTGTTGTTTAGTAATTTTGAATGTTTGTTAAAAATTATATTATGTTTTACTGATTGAGAAAATTATATTAGGTTTTACTTTTTTTTTATTAATTTCATTGCTTTTCTTTCTTATTTTTTTATGGAGAATATTATACTTATAACCTATTTTTGTTTACAACCTTTTTACAACCATATCTTAACCGTTGATTTCCGTCAATCAATGGTTATTATTTTCGCAAATCAAACTCAAACTCATTGAGAAAATTATATTAGTAATTTTTGAGATAATTTTCAACCCGTTGTTAAGTTTACTTTTTTTAATTAAATCATTGCATTTCTTTGTTATTTGTTTTTATTGACTCTTGTAATTTTGAATATTTTTTAAAAATTCATATAGTTTTTTAAAATCTTATAAATCCATATTGTCCTTTCAAATCTCATGAATTCTAGTAAAATCCTTTAAAATCTAATCCTATGAAATCTTGATTGTAAAAAAAGTCTTTTAAAAAAGTCTATAAAGTCTCTCCAATTCTAAAATATCTTTTAAAATCTGTAAGATTTTTTATGTCAAAAAAATCTTTTAAAATCCTAATCCAATACACCCCCTTAGTAAGGGTGTTAACGGGCCGAGCCCGAACCGAGCTTTGATCTTAACGGGCCAAGCCTGTATTTAAACGTGTCCGACTGGCCTTAACCTGTTACCTGTTACGAATATAATATTGGCCCGTGGCCTGGTTTATTTACAAAAAATAAAAGCCTGTGTGAAGCCTGTCTTAGCCTGTTAGCATGTTAAAGAATAAAAATAAGAGAACAGAATTCCACAAAAAATCAATTTCCAGATAGAAACCTTAGCTTCCAATTTGCAGCAATAATTTACAAAGTCTACAATAAATAAATAAAATTAAAGTGAGAGAAGGTAGATAACATGTTATATTATCTTAGCCGATTATAAAAAAAGTGCCAACAAAAATAAAAGTAAAATAAATAAAATAAAAAATAAATTGACACAAAAGCAGTGCACAGTGGAACAAATGAGTTTTTGTGGATTTGTTTGTGTGAAGGAGGATGGAGGATAATATAGAACAGCACTAGTAATTCCATAAATATACATAAATTCAATATATATCCAAATAGCATAATATAGAACAAAATCATTCAAAAAGTCTGTTAAATCAATAAAATGGGGTGAAATAAAGTGATGAGAGAGAGTTATTACAAGTAGTATAAAAAGTATAAATAAATATTTATATACTAGGGCCGAGCTTCTGAATTAGAGTCTGAGGCCTTTCTATTAAACGAACTTTTATACAAGTCCAAGCCTGATTCCAATACGAGCTTTTATTAAACGAGCTCAGACCTTTACGAGCCGAGCCAAAAGCCCCCGAAAGACCCTAGCTCGTTTACCACCCCTGCCCCTTAGTCTTATTTTTTTTTTGGAATATCAGACAAATGGAGAAATAGTTTGATAAAGGGCATTTTGGGTAGAGAGAAAATAATTCCACCCACTACATTGAAAATGATGTTGTATCGTTGTTCGTAAGGGTTTTGCTTTTCCATCAGCGGTGTGAGTAGTTTCCGGTTGCAGATACAGTTACCAAGATCGAAAGGATGCCGTGCCTTAACCTCTCCACCAACGTCACCCTCGACGGCGTCGACACCTCTTCCATTCTATCCGAAGCCACCTCCACCGTCGCTAACATCATCGGCAAACCAGAGGCCGTACGTTCTCTTTTTATTTATTTTTATTTATGCTGATTGTTTGTAGTTTGTATCCGAAATGTGAAATTGAAATTAGGTTTATAAATGGTCGATTTTGGTCCCGTAGTGTGTTTTTCTTGTTGAATAGAGTGTTTATAGTTTGTGTCTGAAATGCTGAAATTGATATTAGGTTGTTCTTAGAGTTATTATTATTTTATTTTTTATTTTTTATTTTTTTTTTGATTGTCGAGTTAGATTTGAGTTCCTGTGAGATACTCTTTTGGTTTTACTTTATGACCTGTTAGCTATATGGTGGTACAACCTCGGTTGTTCTACACGTCCCTATGTATCTAACTGTTTCAACTCTCTATTTGCTGAACTGTTCATTTGAAGCATTGTTGTCAAAGGCTTCAAATGTCGAACCTGGCGCTTTAGATATCGGGGATTCAAATGTGAGTGATGAAGTCTTATATTCACTCGAAATGAACTAAGTAAGGCCATATAAATAAAAAGATTGATAGACTCTTTTCTAAAGGTTTTGGGTTGGGATGCGGTGTTGAAATATTACGAATTAATTATTATTTTCTATTATTATAATTTGATCTAGCCCAATATAGGGTAGTTATGAAGGTAGTGGGATATGGGATATTATTTTGATTGTTAGTGGTAGGTGGTTAGAGGAATTGTGGTTTGTTATTGATATTTCTCAGTCTTTATCTATTTAGACTATTATTCTATGAAATGAAATATTGGGGAGAAGAGAAGAGTTATTTGTGTGCACTTGCATGCTTGAGGCAGAGCTTCCTCAATAGAGCTCATTTCTTTTGTATGTAACACGAGATTTGTGGCTTTGGGCTCTTCTTTAGTAGCACCTTGCTGATGAATTTAAAATTCCCATAAAGTCCAGCCATCTGACATTCTATAGGAAGTAAAATAGTCAGAATAAAAAAGTAAGAGAGAAGAATTATCGGTCTTTGGGACTGAGTTTTATAATGAATGTTATCGATGATCATTTAATTGATAAAGAAAATTAATGCAAAATAGCTAAATATTTTACTGTTTATTCTTTTTCTGTGGTTAATGCCTTTCTTGAGTAAGTTGTGCTTTTTGTGGTACCTCTTGCTTTAAGGTAATAAAATCCCCCTAGCTTCTTAAAGGCACATTTCGTCTTTGACTACCTTGATTTGCACCGATATTCTTCTTTGGTGAATTTGAAGGATGCTTCAGCTAAATGCTGGATCCATGGTTTTATACGTACATTCAACTATGTTTGATGTTTCATTTTTCTCTTATTCTATGTTTCTTTTTTTGCCATAGTATTCTTTTGTTTCAAGAGTGCATTTATTATTATATTCATTCGATCTTATTATTTAGATTCAATATTTCGATTCAAAAAAGGAAAGGACTTATTCAGATTGTCCTAAGGCTCTCTTTATTGATTTGCAGTATGTGATGATTGTACTGAAAGGATCAATACCCATATCTTTTGGTGGTAATGAGCAGCCAGCAGCTTATGGAGAATTGGTGTCAATTGGTGGTCTTAACCCTGATGTGAACAAGAAACTTAGTGCTGCAATTGCTTCAATTCTTGAAACCAAGTTGTCTGTGCCCAAGTCACGGTTCTTCTTAAAATTCTATGACACTAAGGCAAGTGTTTAAACTTCTGAGTTGTCCTGAGAAGAAGGGTCATTGCCCTGCGCTCTTTTCTTATTGCATTCTTCGTTTTTGTTTAGGCCCATCAGAGTCAAGAATATGCACAGTGTCTGCATGCTTTACACCAGCACTAGATCATGTAAATTAATCCTTACTGTTCAAGACTGTTAGTGTAACCCCTTTTAAGCTGTAATTAATAATTTTGTCTTTTTCCTTTTGACATCAACTCTCACTTTTTCCTGTTTCTACTTTTATGCCCAGTAAATAGTTGATTGGTTGTCTTTTCTTGTTCTTTTTTTTCATTTTTTCTTTTTTCTTTTTGGCTGTTTCTTAGATGATAATGGTGCTCTGTTTGTTCCGCAGGGCTCCAACTTTGGATGGAATGGGTCTACATTCTGAATTCCATGCTACTCTGGTTATGGTGCCTTGAACGTTGAAGTCTTCTTTATGTTTACCTCTGCTTCTATGTTTGTATTTTGGTGTCATTAACTCATAATATAAGTACTCTGGATTTCTTGTAACACAAGGGAGGACATAATGCCAATATTAAGTGTAAGACACAAATGGGGATCTTATGTGTTTATGATACTTTTGGACTAATATTATCTGGCACCGCATATATTGATGATGCATTATGAGCTAAACTTGAGACCTAGATCTACACTGGTGTTATTGCTCAATAATATGACGTGATAATAGTTCTGACAGATTAATAACTTGTTTTGTTCTCATCTACAATTGTTTCTTCGAATGGTGTTCAGCAACATGTAAATTGGAGACCCGATAGTGGCTGTTACCCTGCAGAGCATGAAGTTTCGGGGAATCTTAGTGCTGTGCTTTTATTGATTTCTTTGTTGTATGCTTGCTAGTTGGGACAATCCAAATAATTCTCTGGAGGTATAACTTAGGGTGTGTACCCGTCACACATGCCTCTCCTGTTAAAAAGGATGAAGAGTTAAGGGCGTTTGACTTTAGTTTTCTGACTTGATTTTACCCTATTTATTGTCTCCTTGTTTTTTTAACCCAAATAAACAAAATAAAAGAAATTGGAAGAGATAATTCCCCAAATTGGTTGTTAATAAGAATTGCTATGATTTCACGTGTTTTTAGTTTATTTATTCTTTCACTTTGCTAATCTCTAAATCATGTTTATCCTCAATGTATCATGTTCGCGTGTGCTCTTTAATGTAGACAGTAATATGAACTTACACGAGGATAATCGCCATCTAAAATTTTCTCTTTCTTCTAAATTGAGTACCCATAAAATTTGTCTGAGGACATACGTGCAGCACCTAAAATGCTTAAGCAAAGTTCCTTCCAGAGTATTGTAGCCCCCTTCAATGACCAACTGCAATTAGGTTTTCTTATTCGAGATCTTTCACTAAGTTTAGTGCAATTCAACGAGCGTTCATGTTATTGAGCAAGAAAGTAAATTTTTAGATGACCCTTAATAAGATAGAGTTTAAACGGGTCCTTAATTTAGTTTTAACAAAAACAGTATTATTTTAACCACTGATTCAAAAGTATTGACGCAATAATAATAATAATAATAATTGCACAAACATAGTCTCGTTGGATCAGCAAAGTCAAATTGATTTAATTAATCACTTATTGAGGCAGAAGAGATAATTAACTAATCATATGTAAAATATATTTAACAAAAAACATAATGGGAAAATAACATATTTAGAATAACAAACGTGTTCGATCCCGGAGGATATGTATGTCAACATAAGATTGATATTTGTATCTTGGACCTACGGGTGTCAAAACGGGTCGACACGACACGAATACATCAACACTAACACGACACGAATTTTTATTTGTGTCAAAATTTTCAACACTGACACGACACAAAATTTTTGCGGGTTGACACGACACGACACGAATAACATGCAAAATAGGGGTTAAAACGGTAATTTACAAAAAAATTAAAAAAATGGATCGAAATTAAAAAAAAAAATAATTTTAAAAAAATACGGGTCGACACGAACACGAATATATCAATACGAACACGACACAAATTTTTTTGCGGGTCAATCCGAACACGAATTTTCGTGTCGTGTCGCGGGTCGACCCGCGTGTCAAAACCTATATTGACACCCCTACTTGGACCGGTACATTCGTGGAAGTATGAAAAAGACATTGAGGGATAATGGATCTCTATACACAATAATACAAGCATTTAGCCGAAGGCGTAGATACAAAAGAGCATGAGATTCAAAGTGTATACATAAGAGACTTAACCCTTTATTTTTAGAATACATTACCCATAAGTGTAGAGTCCTAATAGAAGTGTAATCGTTAGGAGATATGATAAATAGTTTATCCTTTATCTAATGAGATTAACTTGTTGTTATGTTATTGAGACATGAGTCCATAAAATGAGTCCAGGACAAAACGTTTTTTTCATAATGAATATAATTATGAGAAATATTACTCTCCTTTTATATAAGGTAACTTATCTTATTTTCTTTCATTTCGATTTTCGCACCCCACTTTTTCTTCTTTTTCTTTTTTCTTGTAATGGTGGGATCCACCCATTTTGTCTCTACAACATAAGATAACTATCTTATGTAAAAGGAGATTAATAAAACCCTATAATTATATGGGATTATATTTTCTTATGCAACATAAGATAAGATATCTCATGTTACACTCACAAACTTAGGTGGGTCCCATTGCATAGAAAAAAGAAAAAAAGAATTTGAAGTGGGTCCCACGTCTTTTTGAGTGTGTAGGAGATACTTATTGTCTCCTATCACATGAGACTAATATTTCCCTAATTATATATGAGTAAGGATATTCTAACTACCAAAAACTCTCACTACTAACTTACTACCAATCACATCACCATTAGAGCAAAGAGAGAGAATGTTAAAAAGTTTTTGAAGAGAGAGAAAATGTTAATCTAATGGTAATGAGATAGGTAGTAAGTTGGTAGTAGAAAATTTTAGTAGTTAGAATATCTCTTCTCGTTGTATAACTATGAAAATTTAAAATGATCAGTACAAAATGCTTATAAGTTATCAATAATCAACTGCGTATAATTTAAAACGATCACCAAAATATTGAAAGTATAATTTCCCTCGACGAAACTACCCACCGATTCGATGATATGGCACTTTCGGAAGCGCGTTGGTGTGACGTATTTGACTTGTAGCCGCAAACGCCACTGCGTTTTTTCGTCGGTGGAGGATTCGAAACCGTAACCATTAAGTAAAATAAGTAAAAGTCACGTTTTCATCCATTTCCATCCAACTCTCTCTCTCTCTCTCTTCCAAAACTAAACAAAACAAAACCCCTTTCAATTCCTGACTCAAATTCTCACATTTGCAACCCTCATCTCTCATTCTCTCTCTCTCTCTCTCTATAAACATCTGAATCTAATTCCTTACTTTCTCTCTCTAGACCGGTACAACAAACCATGTCTTCCACCGTCCCAGCCGTCCTTCCCATTTCTAACAGCACAACCACCGCCGCATCCGGTGGCGCCGTCGCGGGATCTGAAGCCCCTGCCTCTAACCCTGCCTTGCGTGCTTTAATCAACAATCTCTCTGATTCGCTCCGCCACGGCCTGTCCCAGCGCCGCCCGTGGTCGGAGCTGGCGGACCGCACCGCCTTCTCCAAACCGGAATCCTTCTCCGAAGCCACCCTCCGTGTCCGCAAGAACTTCTCCTACTTCCGCATCAACTACTACGCCATCGTTTCCGTGATCCTTGCGGTGTCTCTTCTCACGAACCCGTTCTCTCTCATCCTCCTCCTTGGATTGTTGACTTCGTGGACCTTCCTCTACCTCTTCCGTCCCTCTGATCAGCCACTTGTCCTTCTCGGACGCACCTTCTCTGACTTTGAAACACTCGCACTTCTCTCTGCCCTCACCGTCTTCGTCGTTTTCCTCACAAGCGTCGGCTCTGTCCTCGTCTCCGCCCTCATGCTCGGCGTCGCCGTCGTCTGCCTCCACGGCGCTTTCCGCGTCCCTGAAGATCTCTTCCTCGACGAACAGGATAACTCCCAGGCCACCGGATTCCTTTCCTTCCTCCGCACTCCTGCTGTCGCCGTTGCCTCCGCCGCCATGCCCACTGTAACCACCCGCGTTTGAGGGGGAATCGCTTCGATCTGGTAACGGTAATGGTGTCCTTCATCTGATCCGTTGAATTTTGGTACTTGGAAGCGAAATCAATGGTTGAATTCCTTGATCTGTGTTACTAAATTCGATTATACGTAGGGTGAATATGAATCATGATGATATTTGTATGGATCTTTTTGTTTTTGTTTTTTTGTTTTTTTATGTAGGATCTGCAAAACTTGTTGATGGATCTATCAATTTTCTTTAATCAATTTTTTCGTTCTGTAATTTGTTTCTTCATTAACCTTTGTTCATATTCATTATACCCATTATCTAAAGTTCCCAGAATTATATAATTCAATATCAGTGGTTGTGCTGATTATATTTTTCATTTTTTATTCATAGCATACTTTGTCTATTATGAATCAATAACGAGTTCGCATGGATAGCCCATGGAAATTCATTATAGTCCTGTGCGTTGTTTATAGTAATGTGTCTCGCTTAGATCTCATTGTTTCTGATGTGAAAAAGAATAGACATAGGGTTTAATCACATACTTTCTGCTTTTGTGTGAAGCTGGTCGAGCAATGTTGGATTTGTCATAAGGTGTATTGCTATTAAGTTGGACACGAGTCTTACTAGGTTTATCTATCTTCTAGTTCGTGCGGTACTCGTATCAGTTTATTACATTGGTTGGATTGTTGGCTATTTAGTTGCATAATATGGTTTTAACTTTGGTATCTTGTTGTAAATAGAATGGAGAGTTTGTATTGGCAAAGTTAAAAGAGAAAGTCAATAATTTTGATCCTGGAAAATTATATTGTTTCTCAAATTTACTCTTTTGCTGGTTTTCTTAATTGAGTTTTGGATGTTTTATGTTTTTGTTTGGTCCTTCGTATGCAAGACGACTGTATTGACAATTGAGGCAAACTAATTCATTCATGGGTTTAATCAAGAAAATCTCCGGTTGAAGGATCAAATCGAGAAATCCTACATATTTGTCGTGTGCTAATTGAGAAATACTATATTTGTCTAGTGCCACAATGATCAGTTGACTCCTTAGTAAAATATTTGCTTCTGTGTTTCATTTATAATATTGGTAGAAGTAATATTCACTTATTCAGTTTGATGTTTACTAAAAATATATATATATTCAGTTTGATAACAAAGTCATGCCCCGTTCCTAGTACTTTGACGTCTAGACATATGCAGAAAAATTAAATTCTTCGTGCCACAGTGTTGCTTTACGAATCAAGAGATAGTGCGCGTGGTTTTACTTTCAAGTATGTTTAGTTTTGTATTGTCAAGCTGTTTCTTTTAGAGTGATCTCACCACGATGGTGTGTGAGAGTTTGTTTCAATTATGCTGTCTATTGGCTCCTACGCTCTGAATCTTTTGAATCTGTAATTGCATCAAAACTAAATTCCAACCACTACACCTGAGTTTCAGTTTAGAAAGTCTCAAACCATAGTTTAGGCAAGAGTTTGTCAGTTTCAGTTTTTACTTTAATCATGATTTTGGAGATCAAAACAGGAAACCAAACATGTTAAAAGAGCATATTGCCATATTGCATTATGAAATTAAGTTTGCCATATTCATATTCTATCCTTCTTCTTGAAGCTTCACAGCACAAGACAGAGCACGTAAAATGCCGTGGTTGTGGTTGTAAACTGAAATTAAGTTTTCCGTTGTCATGTCAATCCCGCATGCATAAGTCGCGCATGCAAATGGAAGTCCCGTGTGGAAATCGTACTGCACTATGACAATTGACAACTGAATATTTTGGAAAATGCTAAAGTGAAATATCTTGGTAAAAAAACCTAGTGATGTAGTTCGGTAGTATATTGAGGAAAGGATAAGACGAAGGAGAAATTGTAAAGAAAAGGTTGACCAGATGTGTCAAAATAGGAGAAATTGAAAAGAAAAGATTGATTAGAGGTATTAAATTAGATTGAGTCTAATGGGTCAGTTTGAGTAATAAGGATTGGGGCAATGAAATTGAAATAAAAAGCGATTTCGGTTAGATTTGGCTTTGATTGATTTGGTCTAACCTAATAAGATGATCAGATAACATTTTTACTTGATTTAATGAAAGAATATTAAATCTCATATTGAGAGATTAATGATTATAATTTCAATGATAAAGTTTACAAAATAAAAAAAAATGAAATGCAAAGTTTGTAAAATAAAAAAATAAAACGATAATTTTAATGGGTAACTGTTGATTAATCAATAAAGGATTGAAATTTAATCAATAAAAAAATAAATGATTAATCAATAAAATGAGAGAATTGAATTATTCAAAACAGAAGTGTATTGGTCCAATATTCCGAACCCGAAGTGTGTCTTGGACATGATCCTGATCTTTTCAAGTGCCTGCCTGCACAGAATGTTCATCTGGTGAGGTTTGGGTGGGGGAATCCGCTTAAAGGGCCTCCATCTTCCTCTCACTATCAAGCACCCCCAACCCCAACATCATTACTCCAATATTTCCACATCAATCTAACCTTCTCTTTAGCTCAACGTAGTTCACACAATAAACCCATCCCATCATCGACAAATGTTAAGAATTAGCTCCCCCTCAAAAGTCTCATCGTTGCAATCAGGGACTTTCAATAATAAATACATAATAAATCTAGATGTTATTATCCAGATAGGTATGCGGTATGCCCAAAGCCCCTAACGATTTTACTTAAAGTTTGAAACAAGTTTAAACAGAACATTGTAACTTACAACTAAATCAATAATAAATCACGACCGAAAGGGGTATTCATTATTTAGTAACCCTTGAAAATTGAATAATTAATGGAAAATACAGTTCTTAACTTCTTATCACTTCATTCTGGCACGGTGAATTCGAAAAATCTTTCAGGCTGAATAATAGCATACACTTAACGTATAAGGCTATAAGCTCGTTAACAGGTTTTTTTAACAACGGTCACTTGAATTGCTAAGATCAATTAAGTTGACTTAAAAAAAGTTTCAAATTTGATTTTTACAAGTATTTTGTTTATTGACAAGTCATTTATAAACATTATTATAAGTTTTTCTTGAAACTTTAAGGAATCTTGACATTAGACAATTTCTTCTTCTTCTTCTTCTTTTAATTTTTTTTTAAAGAAAGGCTAATAAAATATTTAATCTCTTCGGTTTTTTTTTTCAAAAAAATAAATATAAATTTCTTCATTAATCCCTTTCATTTTTTGTTTGTTGTTTAAAAAGTTAAATATAACCGCCTTCATTATTAATCCTCTCATTTTCAATTTCTTCAAGTTCACTTCTTCGCCATGTTTTCCCAAAGTATAAAAGCCTAAAAATGTTGAAACATGCGGGTCATTCACCAGAATTTCGTTGTGACTATGACAACTGAATGTTTCCCCCCCTAGTAATACTATTCACAACAACTCTTTATTTTTATTTTTATTTTTTTCTTTCTTTTTCAGGCTAATAATGTTGTTCACTCATCAGTATCATGAATTATGAAAGCTTCAGGTGAGCAATCCGTGTCACACCTATTTTTATAACCCAAAAAGATGAAAAAAAGCAAATGAAGAAGCCCTATGACTTGTCATTTTTGCCCATATTAAGTGCATTATAAGTTCAATAACACAAGGGTAGTTTCGGTAATTGAAATTTGGTCCTCTGTGTCATACCCTCTTATAATATAATATTTCATGAGCAAAACATGGCAATGGGACCCTTGAGAATATGCATCCAATGCAATGTAGCCGTTGGAGAACCAAACCCCATCTCTGCTAGGTGCTCATGCACGGTCTCGTATATCCCAACCCAACCCGTTATGTATCAGTTTCACAGATATGATAATGTAGACTATGGAAGTAAAACTAGCCGTTAGGATTAAGAAAGTTTCAACCTTTGACCCATTCACAATAACCCCACCAACTTTCCTCACTCACATGCCTTTATCAGAATTGTGGTCCTTTCTCTTTTCACTATCTCAGTTGTTCCCTCCTTCACTTTCTTGTTATTTACATCTTTCCTCAGTGTTCTTCATTGTACTATAGGACTGTAGACACAATAAACAATAAGAGAGTTGAGCCTGTTTCTTTTGCTTTAGCCATTGTTGTTTCTCAGTTCCAATCCTATTAGATATCGCTTCCCAAGTTCATGGGAAACAATAGTTTGCATCATGTCAAAGATTTCCACACAAACCCACTTCAGCTTTTGCTCTCTTTTTCTACAAATTGTGATAGAATGAGGAAATGGAGGAGTCATAAGGGTAGTTTCATTTACTTAGCATTTTTCCTGTTTCTTTTGCAAGCTATGGCTTGTATCATTCAACCTGTCTCAGGGCACATGTGGGATGGGGTGATTGTTACTCAATCTGATCATCAAGCTTTGCAGGCTATTAAGCTTGAGCTGATTGATATCAAAGGGGTTCTGAGAAGCTGGAATGATACTGGTTTAGGTGCTTGTTCAGGTGGTTGGGTTGGAATCAAATGTGTGAATGGAGAGGTTATTGCAATTCAGCTTCCTTGGAGAGGGTTGGGTGGCCGCATCTCAGAGAAAATTGGACAGCTTCAAGCTCTTAGGAAGCTTAGTCTTCATGACAATGTTCTTGTTGGTCCTGTCCCTTGGTCTCTTGGCTTTCTTCCTAATCTTAGAGGAGTTTATCTCTTCAATAACAGGCTTTCAGGTTCTATTCCTCCTTCCATTGGTAATTGTCCATTGCTTCAATCTCTTGATATTAGTAATAATTCCCTCAATGGTAAAATCCCTTCTAATTTAGCAAACTCCACTAGGATATTCAGAATCAATTTGAGCTTTAACTCACTTTCTGGATCCATTCCTAGCAGTTTCAGTATGTCTCCTTCTCTTACTATTCTTGCCCTCCAACACAACAATCTCTCAGGCTCTATCCCAGATTATTGGGGTGGAATGGGAAAAAAAGCTTCCCAACTTCAAGTTTTGACCCTTGAACATAATCTTATTTCTGGAACCATCCCAGTTTCTCTAAGCAAGCTGGCTTTGCTTGAAAACGTTTCTTTAAGTCATAACCAGATTGTAGGATCTATTCCAAATGAACTAGGTGCACTTTCCAGGCTTAGAATTCTTGATCTATCAAACAATGTAATCAATGGCAGCTTTCCTGCTAGCTTCTCCAACCTCTCTTCTCTTGTTTCATTGAATCTAGAGAACAATCAACTTGAAAACCATATCCCAGATGCTTTGGACAGGTTACACAACCTTTCTGTGCTTAACCTGAAGAACAATAAGCTTGGTGGCCAAATCCCATCAACAATTGGAAACATCTCAAGCATTAGCCAAATTGATTTCTCTGAAAATAAATTCATGGGAAAAATTCCAGATTCCCTTACCAAACTTGCTCATCTCAGTTCATTCAATGTCTCTTACAACAATTTATCTGGTCCTGTCCCATCTCCACTTTCCAAAAGATTCAATGCTAGCTCCTTTTCAGGGAATCTTGAGCTTTGTGGGTACATCAGTTCAAAACCGTGCCCTTCACCCCCACCTCATAATCTTCCAGCTCAATCACCAAACCCTCCTTCCAAGCCACACCACCGTAAACTAAGCACCAAGGACATAATCCTCATAGTAGCAGGCATTCTCCTGTTAATTCTGCTATTACTGTGCTGCTTTTTGTTATGTTGTTTGATCAGGAGAAGAACTGCTTCAAGCAGAAAGAGTGGCAAGATGGCTAAGGCTGCAGCATCTGCTAGGAGTGTTGAGAAAGGTGCAACAACTGGTGGTGAAATTCAATCAGGAGGTGAAGCTGGAGGAAAACTAGTTCACTTTGATGGACCTTTTGTGTTTACTGCTGATGATCTTTTGTGTGCAACTGCTGAGATAATGGGGAAAAGTGCATATGGAACAGCATACAAGGCAACATTGGAGGATGGGAACCAAGTTGCTGTGAAAAGGTTGAGGGAGAAAACTACTAAAGGGCAGAAGGAGTTTGAAACTGAGGTTGCTGCACTTGGCAAAATCAGACACCCAAATCTCTTAGCCCTTAGAGCCTATTATTTAGGACCCAAAGGAGAGAAGCTTCTTGTCTTTGATTACATGACCAAAGGAAGCCTAGCATCATTCCTTCATGGTAAGTAATTAGAATGTCTTATATCAGTTAAGATTTTTTTACTAACTATTCCAAAACAAGGCATATAAATGGTTTTATATTTTTTATTATATTTCTAACAATTTTATCTCCTAATATGTTTTCTACCTTTGCTTTTGATACTGATGTTTCCAAATACATGCAGCTCGGGGACCTGAAATTGTCATTGAATGGCCAACGAGGATGAAAATAGCCATTGGAGTCACTAATGGTTTGTGTTACCTCCATAACCAAGAGAATATAATACATGGGAATCTTACATCTACCAACATACTCTTAGATGAGCAAACAAATGCACATATCACAGATTTTGGTCTTTCAAGGCTAATGACAACTTCTGCCAACACCAACATAATTGCCACTGCAGGAAGTTTAGGCTATAATGCACCAGAACTTTCAAAAACCAAGAAGCCTAACACAAAAACTGATGTTTATAGCCTTGGTGTCATTATCTTGGAACTCCTAACTGGTAAACCACCTGGGGAACCAACCAATGGCATGGATTTGCCACAATGGGTGGCATCCATAGTAAAGGAGGAATGGACTAATGAAGTGTTTGATTTGGAACTCATGAGGGATGCACCAACCATAGGGGATGAACTTCTTAATACATTGAAATTAGCATTGCATTGTGTGGATCCATCTCCAGCTGCTAGGCCTGAAGTTCAGCAAGTTCTACAGCAATTAGAGGAGATCAAACCAGACTTGGTTGCAGTGGATGATGAAGCTCAAGTCCAAACAACTGAATGAAGTGTTTATTTTGAGAAAGTGTGTGTCAAGAAAGGAAATTTTAATTACTTGAATTACTAGAGAAAGATATATATATTTTATTCTTTATTTATTTGTTAATTACGTTAATGTATATAGGACCTGGTGAGGATTTATTTACATTAAGTATTCTTTTTATCTAGGTGAATAATGTATGTTTTTGAATATCTGTTTAATTTAATAGTTTTTTACCTGATAAAGTGATGATGCTTCTTTTGTTTTCATTTGATTCAATGATATTACATGATGCCTTTACTGTCTGCAACTAAGTGTAATTGTGTTTTTCCCCTCAAGCAAGGTTTCATTTGATTCCTTCGTCTCATTTTATTATACATTTTATGGAAAAAAGAAAAAAGAAGAAGATGGATTCAATTCATTTGTTTTTCCATAATAGAAATGTGTAAAATAAGATTTTATCTAATTTTATCAATCTAATTACATCAATAATAAATCATTTCATACAGTAGATTTTAAAACCTATTAAATAGATTCGAAACCAATAACAGGTTAATATCCAAATTCCATGATCTCTCTCTGTTTTTTCTCTCTCTTAGTTATGGAACATAATGGTGGAAAGAGGATTTGAGAAAGAGTTGATCAAAATCTATTCTAAAATAAAGTTTATGCAAAAGTAAACTCATACACAATGTAAACACAAAGACAATATAGCTTAAGAGAATGATTAACACTCAAACCTTATATCTAGGAAAATTTAACTATACCTACATCTTAAAAGATATAATACCTTTTAATTATGGGATAAGAGTGTATTATTCTAAAGGATGCAAAGTTGTGTAGAGAAAGAAATAGATAAAAGAAAAAAAGAGGGCAAAACGACCATACTACGGTCAATTTTCAAAAGTATCTTCAGTTGATGATACAATTGAAAAGTATGTCCAATATAGAGCAGTCAACCGCGTCAAGTTGACTGACAGATTCAGTCCCGCCATAAACACTAGCGGCACACCATACCACCTAAGCTAAATCAGACGACAACAGAGCAACGCGTCAAGCAACCCAACGACACCAAAATCGTCAACCACAGTGACGGTAATGGCAGCCTAGTCAGCACCTCATTTGCTCCACTCCCGCCAGTTCCCTTTACGGGACATGCTGTAACTATCCAATTGTCTTATTCTCCGTTAGTTTGAATAAAGGACGAAATAACTTCAATGATATTGAACAAAATTTTAAATTATAATGAATATTCAATTATTTAATTCATAACTAAAAATTAATAATTTAACTTAATATGTCAAATTGTTAGGGTTTCGATTACTAAACTTACATCTGTAAGTATATAATACTTAAAACAATTGTTACGAGTTTAATCATTATTAATTAACGTTATTATAAATATAATAAATCAAAATTATGACTAAAGATTAATGTTTACAATTTTCAATATTTATTACTTATTTTTCTTACAGTCAAGTTTTATGGCATTGTAAATTACAATATGATTACTATTAATTAAAACACTATTTTAAATTACTACATCATAATTACATTATTGTATATTGTTTACCAAAAGACAAATTAAATTAATTATTAATTAATTGAGGCAAACTTTTTCTATGCGTAGGCTTGTCCAAAAATATTGGTAATAATCCAAGCAAGTATATTTATAATAACGTTATAGGCAAAATTGATTATTATTGTTAGATAAATAATCAGCGAGCTAGATTATAACAACCTAAGAAAAACCTATTGAGCTAAATAAATAATCATTAATTGTTAATTAAATAATTAAATAGTAATAAATATTAGTGTTATATGTAAATATTTGCTTTGTTAGTAATTTACGGTTTTCATAAGTGGTAACAATTAAAATGGTAATAACTAATGTAATTATGTTGTAATTAGTGATTTAATAATAATAAATAACATAGTAAGAAAAACACCTAGTAAGTTTTATATAGTAATCAATAGTGTCATAATTCATCATTAATCATGTTATTGAATAACTTTTCAAATTTAATTAAATAATGAAAATATTTTTGGAAAGGCCTACGCATAGAAAATGTTTGCCTCAATTAATTAATAATCAATTTAATTTGTCTTTTGGTAAACAATATACAATAATGTAATTATGATGTAGTAATTTAAAATAGTGTTTTAATTAATAGTAATCGTATTGTAATTTACAATGCCATAAAACTTGACTGTAAGAAAAATAAGTAATAAATATTGAAAAATGTAAACATTAATCTTTAGTCGTAATTTTGATTTATTATATTTATAATAACGTTAATTAGTAATGATTAAACTCGTAACAATTGTTTTAAGTATTATATAGTTACAGATGTAAGATTAGTAATCAAAACCCTAACAATTTGACATAGTTACACATGTAAGATTAGTAATCAAAACCCTGACAATTTGACATATTAAGTTAAATTATTAATTTTTAGTTATGAATTAAATAATTGAATATCATTATAATTTAAAATTTTGTTCAATATCAATGAAGTTATTTCGTCCTTTATTCAAACTAACTGAAGAATAATACAATTGGATAGTTATAGCATGTCCCGTAAAGGAAATTGGCAGGAGTGGAGCAAATGAGGTGCTGACTGGGCTGCCATTCCCGTCACTGTGGTTGACGATTTTGGTGCCGTTGGGTTGCTTGACGCGTTGCTCTGTTGTTGTCAGACTTAGCTTAGGTGGTATGGTGTGCCGCCAGTGTTTATGGCGAGACTGAATCCGTCAGTCAACTTGACGCGATTGACTGCTCTATAATGAACATACTTTTCAATTGTATCATCAACTGGAGATACTTTTGAAAATTGACCGTAGTAAAGTCGTTTTGCCAAAAAAGAGTAAACAAAAAAATATGAAGAATATGAAGATATGAGTCTCATCTCTTTGTGAGAGTGAAAAGATATAAATTTTGTTATTTAAAAAAAAAAATTTCCCCTTTAATTATTATTAATCATCCAAAACTGAATGTCCTGTGCTTGTAAAGAATAAATCACTTATAAAAAAATAATAATTTAAGACACAGTTGAGTAACTTGAGTTGCACAAGATCGCAACAATTCCACTCCTCTTTCTCTCTCTCTCCGCCGTGTGCCGCTATGGACGACCCACCGTTGCAAAAGATCGCAATTTCCGGCCCAACCTTAGCCTCCATCATCCAACGCTTCTCCACCTCTCCCTCTGCCGTTGACGGCCTCCTCTTCGGCCACGTCACCCACGTGACCCCACTCAATCTCTCCGACGACTCCGCCACCACCGCGGCGGACTCCCCCACCCTCCTCGCCACCGTCACCGGCTTCCTCTGCTCCTCCACCTTCTACGACTCAACCGGCGCCGTCCAACCTGTCTCCCTCCGCCGCCTCCTCCACCTCCGCTCCTCCCTCCTTGGCTGGTTCTCCGGCCGCCGGAAAACCCCCCTCCGGCCCTCAATGCACGAGTTCTCCGTCACAAAATCACTCTCCTCCTTTTCACAGCTATCTTCCCAAATCGAAAACGCCCCTGAACCCTCGAATTTCAACCCCTGCGTGTTCCTCCTCTTGGCTTCGCCGCAACCGGACCCCACCGGCCACGTCCACACCCACGAGTATCGCGCCTATCAGTTCCGTGGCGGCACCGAGTCGTTCGAACCCAAATCGCTCGACATTGTCAACATTGGCCCCGCCTTCCGCGGCCATTATGGGTCCTTCAGCCCTAATTCGCCGTTCCCAGCACTTGATTGCGAGCTGCGGGGCTCGCCGATGAACGAGGACGATGACGAGCGGTTGAGCCGGATAAAGCAGGATTCGAAGTATCAGAAGGAGCTTGATGAGTCTGCTGAGGGGTTTGATGTTGGGAGATTGAGAAGGTTGATTGGTTCCGAAGCCAAGAATTATACTGAAGGTTTGGAGGATTTGTACGAGAAAATGCTTGTCAAGATTGAAAATTTGACTAGGTCGGTGGAGAAGAGTTCTGCTAAGGTTCTTGAGCAGGTGATTTTCTTATTGGTCAATGTTGAACAATTATACTTACTACGATGATGATGATCAGAATGTAGTGGTTTGAGTTGAGGAATTTGCATGTGGGTTTTTTGTGGGGTTAGTTATTGACTAAAAGTAGATTAAAGTACAATTGGTTTTATTTAGGAATATGTTGTTATCAACTAGTTTTTTTTGCTATTTTGTAGAATGTTTTGTATTCTGGAATCAAGTAGAACCATGTTTGTGAGTGGTTTTAGAATCTAGATATATGGTATCTGCATTGTCACTTATCATATGGATCGGAAAAGATTTTAGATAAGGGACTAGTTTGGATGCTATACCTTCCTGGATGAGTATAGATTGGTCCAAGGTATCCTTAATAAATGGGAGCTCAAGCTTGGAAAACTCAAACTGAGTTCCCCATGCCGGGGGCCTGTAACTGTCCAAGCCAAATAGTGCCAAGCCTAAGACACATTGAACCTATACTAGGAAGGAGCGGTTGATTTTGTAACCCTTACTCTTTGCCCCCAAGCACGATACAAGCTAACTGTCAACTCTCCCTTAATGAGCAATAAACACTGAATTTAAACAAACGACTAGAATAGCCCATAAATGGCAGCATAGTAAAACTGAATAGGCATATTCATCCATATCGTACTATAGCTAGACTGAGTTTGGTATAATCAACTGAGCATATCCTACTATAGCTGGACTGAGGTCAGCATAATCGTTCGAGCTTAGCTTGGCCAGTAGAACTTTGTTGTGAACAATTTCTTTCTTTGACTATATTGAGAATTGAAAATTAGTATTTGGATTTTGTATTGTCTTGATAGAAAATTATTGAACTTAGTAACTAACTCAAGATTGGTTTTTCTTTCATCAACTTTGAACAGGAAAATCATAATAGGAAGTTAAAACACAAAATTTTGAGATCTGCTACACCAGAATAACTATATCAATGCTGGCAATCCCTTTTTTCTTTCAGGTAAGCTTTGTTTTTAAATATTGTATTTTTTAAACTTTTCGATTCTAAGCAATCTTGAATAAGTAATTCCTCCAATGAATAGTAGAGCAGACCAGTTATGTTTCTCAATTGATTCACAATATATTTATCTCTCTATTTATACCAGTTTGGTTGTAATAGATCTTAAGCAGCTCTATGGTAGTAGTTCTTAAGTATTCCACTTTGCACGAGCAAAGCTGCATCAATCAAATTGAACTATAAGTTCCATTTTTATATGAAGGGAACTTTCTGCTAGATCTCTTAAACTTTAAGGAAACATAGATTTCAACTTCTTCTGTGGTGTGCAATTTCTCGAAATATTTTTAGTTTGTGGACTTCATTTTTTAAACAATTTGAGTTCCAAGCCACAGAAGTAGTATCTATTAAGCAATAAAGAACTGACACCTCAAGAAGAGAACCCTTACCATACTTTAGTGCCCCTCTTTTAACTGACAAGTTGGGTAGTACCAACGATGACACTTGGGCATCCGATATCAAGCTCTGGCTCAATGGTCAATAATATGTGGATAACCTCACTACCAAAGCTGACATGATGCCAGCTCTGTGGTTAGGAAAAAATTTTAAATGCAAATTGCGGCATGTCGCAGCCAACCCCGAAAAACGCTTCAGCGCTATAGCGGGTTGTGGTTGCAGAAATAGCGGAAGAGATATATGACAAAAAGAAATATTTTTTAAAGGCAGAGATAACAGAAGTGACGGAGAGAGACACAGATAGACTAAAAATCCCTTAAAATTTTTCTGTTACACATTTAAATTTAGGACAAAATTGACATTTTGCCTTATGACATCAATATGGCCGTGATTTGGCCGCAAATGCGATTGCAATGACTGCTATGGAGTTCCGGTGCGGCACGACGCGTTTTCTTGCGGCAAGGCACAACAACATCCATACGGCGCGGCTCGTGGCGCTATTGCGGCACAATTAACTACTATGGGTTAGGATGGGCAAAGATTGATGCCCAACTATGTAGCATCATCAAAACCACTATTTATCCTTCCTTGAAGTAGGTCTTTGGGGCCTATGTCACCTATGAATCAGTTTGGGCTCAGGCAAAGTCCTTATACCAATGATACTCAACGCCTCCGTGGGGTTCTCATGGTGTCATTGCTCCTTGGAGGTTTGACAGTTCTATGTCTGCATGTTTGGGTAAAATTTGTGGAGCATTTGAGCAGTGGAGGGTGGTCAGAATGGGGGATCTGGAAAATTGGGATTGGCTAGACTTGGGAGAGCTTTGAACCTCTCTAACGTTCAGAACCTTTTATTATTTTCAGTTTTCTTTCGCTTTCGTCTTTTGTCTTTAATTCTGGAAGAGAAGTTATGTCTATACCCTCTATTTCATTTTTCTATTTTCTGGTCTACTGTACTGTCATTGGTGAACGTGGACTGAGAGCCGTCTCTTACTATAGAAGGTGAATTCTTCAATTTGATCTTTTCTCTTGGTTTACATATCTATCAAATATCAGTAGCTAGAAGGGTCAATCCTAGGCTTTCAACTCGCTATTATGCTCTCTTTGAGGTTATTTCCCGTGTAGGCAAGGCGACATATAAGTTGGTGCTGCTAGAAACAACTAAGCTACATCCCGTATTCCATGTCTCCGAGCTCGAAAGGGCTATAGAAACCATCCAGCGGAACCCAAACTGCTTCATGGCCTGGAGATGGAGGAGCTTATTACTTTTACCCCAAAGGCTATCCTAGCTTTATGAGAAACTACTAGCCAAAGGAAGATTATGACTGAGTGGTTGATCTTTTTAGAAGCACAAGCAGAAGAAGAGGCTACTTGGGGGAAAGAAAGTAGCATCAGAAGGCATTTTCCCAACTTCTGCCTTGAGGGCAAGGCATCTATTAAAGGTGCTGGTATTGATGGGTCATCGAAGTCTTGGTCCAAAGTCCCTGAAGTATATTCTCTAGGCTTAAAGGCAGATAGAGGAGGGAGTGCAAATGTAAGTGGAGGGAAAATTAGTTATGGAAAGAGAAACTGGATCTGAATAAGGAGCGAATATTTGGTGGACCCGGCTCATGTGAGCCGGGTAGAGAGAAAGGAGAGGAGAGAGGAGAGAAAGAGAAAGAAGAAGGAGAGAGAAAGGGACCATACAATTAATTTCCCTGAATAAGAGAGTTAGTAAGGGGACAGAAAAGGAATCTGATGTAAAGGGAAAGAGTGTTCACGTAGGACCTTATGTCGTATATTTTATTCTTAGGCTTTGTGCCTTGGGCTAGCCGTAGGAGTTTCCTTCATAGTTGGGAGCTTCTGGTATCTTTTCTGTAATTCCTTCTCATTACATAGTAATAAAACTCTTCCCTTTTGCTAGATAGGAATGGGTTCCTATCATAACATGTCACAGGATGCACAAAATTGGGCATTAGTGATGGATTTGCCTATGATTTGCAAACAAATTTGTAGTGCAATTTTAAGGAGACATAATGACTCTGCAAATCAAGCTAATGCATATTCTTATTAAAGTCACACGTGAGAATCATAACCATATTTCCTTTGTATTGGTCTCTCTCTCTCTCTCTCTAAGGAAAGTCTCTATTTCATTTACACTTACTAATGTTACCTTATTTTTTCTTTATTTTAGAAATCAATTTAAATATTCTGTTTATAAATGAAATTTTTGATTTTTGCTTCATTTCATTTTAAATATTTATATTAGTTCTGACAGATTGGAAATAGATAGCATCTCTATTTTTATATTTCTTTGGCTAACTTACACATAAAATAACTTCAAATGAATGACTTTGGAGGATAGATTCATACAATTGTGACTTCTGTGTATTTACACCTACATCTGCATTAAGAACTTGTTACTCTGGCACTCTGCTGCTATTTATGGCTATCCCATTAATGACATCAAGCATTCTGCTGACACCAGAAATATACTCTCTAGAGATCTAAAACTCTGCAGTTGCAAAAAAGGTAGGCTTGCCATTATTTGCCCTTCAGATGTCAAGCATATCTTTAATCTTTTACATAGTAATTATATGTATTGTTTGGGCTTCAAGTGGCCAGACTTACGAGTAACAGAGATGGAAAGACTTATAATCATCATTGTGTTAGGTGATGATTAATGTTGCGGATTTATATTAGCAATTATTATATCCCATATTCTTGATTAGTCTTTTGTGACAGACCTACTATTTGATGACTTTCTTTTTACCTGATTAGAATCACTGAGCTGTAGAATCTTTCCTTATCAACCTCTTATATTTTGGCCTTCCACATTAGAATACATTCTCCATTTTTTATATGATTCTATTTCTCTTATTTATATTTGATTGATACAAATGACACTTTCTTTCTTCACCTCTCTCCTCCTCCCTTTTTGGTTTTGCTATCCATGACATGGGAACACTTCCAAAAATATCTTTGATGTTGGAACATGAAATTTTTGTTTTTATTTGAAACACAAATTAATACTATTAAGAATAATTCAGTATCTTACTTAGGCATCTGCGTGTCCAGTTTTAGAGGGCTTATTCTAGTTGTATTCTGTAGAACACGTGAAATAGGGGAGTGATTTTATCACATATCTCACCGGGCTTCTTTGTGAGAATTGTTATATGAAAAGTTGATAAACTGCTAATGCAATCAAACTGAGATAGAGAAACAAAATTTCATGTCCAAAGCATTTTGGTAGCGTTGGGTATGAAACAATGTGACCTAGGTTTGAGCATGCATAAAACTGAATAAAATCGTGGTTGGCTCCTGCAAATAATTGGTCAGATTACCTATCTCAAGCAGCTTCATGAAACTCACTGATGTTATGGTTATATAAAATAAATGTTCAACTTGTATCCATGCATTGCATTATGACTGAGGGGGCATGGTCAATCATAATGTTAACAAGCTTATATTTTCTGATGCACAAAGCAGATAAGCAATAGGCAATTTTCAGCCTTCTGTGTCGACCCGGATCATCAACAGCTTTTTCTGGAATCACCTGAAACATGAGTATACCTGTTTGGATTTGGTGGACCTGTGATATATATGCAGTCCAGCTATTGTAGATGTTGTATTTTATCTTTTGGTGACTCTTCAAGATGAAGAAGACAGTAATTGTGCAGGGCGGTCAAATGATTTGATCCTTCTCAATACAAGAAAGCTCTGATGTTTTCTCTCCCTATCCTGTGGCATATATTCGTTCCATGTAATGATATGCCAACAGTATTCTGTATTGTATTACCTTTGCTTCTTTTATCCCTCTATTGAATGATATATTTAGCTTTAGTTGTTTAGTTACTAGCAGAGGTCACTTACAAGAGAGAAATGAAATCAACATGTGTTGCTTTATTGTTAAATGGTTGCAAATCTGTCATTCTACTCAAAATATAGAATGTTTCTGATATGTTTCGCTTCTGAAACTATCCTTCCACTGGCAGATATTCGGCTTGGGGCTTGCTATCTTTGCAGTCAACGATGAACTTGCACCGAAATTGACACCTGCCTTATTTTTAAAAATGTTGGGTTATTACAACACTTAAAATTCTAAATCCAAACAACTAACGCTTTAGCTTAATGCTGTTTGATTTCATTTTCCATAACTTCTTTCTCTGGAAAGAAACTATAATAACCCTCATTAGTAATTGTGGATTTAGTATTGAAGAATAATTAGAAGTAAAAGAAATAAAGTCACCTTTGGTGAAAAATGAGTTAAAATGACAGTTAAGAGGTAAAAATACGGGTAAATAAAGTTATCCAAAAAGTGAAAGTAAAAATAGAAATATGACTAGAAAAATATTTTAGTCCATTGGGTAAAGTTTGGTTATGAATGGAGGTGTGTAGATAGATAAACCTTTACCCAGTTGGATTTAAGTTGACCTATATAAGTGAAATTTCAAAAAAAGTTACTATTCCTTCTTATTTTCTTCTCGCGGACGACAGTGAGGGAGGAAGAGAATGAGATTTTGAAATCCAATCTTCCAAGGCTCATAACTTGAGCTAGAAAACTCCAAATCACTCCGTTCCAAAGCCAAACTTATAAGAAATTTCGAGAAGAATCCATTGGTACCAGTATTTCTGAGTGGGTTTCATTGTAGAGAGAGATCCTCCTCCTCCAAGATTTCGGATTTCATGGATAATGGAGATTTTGATGGAGCTTGAAGCCATGGGAGCTTGAAGTAAGCTTCCCCCCTTCGTCTAGTTAAGTTTATGTTGAGAAATCTTGGTTTTCTTTTAGTTTTGAGGAAGATTGAATCTAGGTTTTCATTTTGAAAATTTGGTTTGATTGAGCATGTTAGAGCTTGATTCAGGTTTAGCTCATGTTGAGAAAAGTGTTTAGATGAGAATTTTAACGGTGAAAATGTATTTTGGAAAATTAAAAATACCGTATTTTTGAATAGTGTCGTATACGTGAATAGTGACGCATACATGAATAGTATTGTAGAGATGAACAGTGTCGTATATATCAATTAACGAATCTTGGATTAGAGGTGTGTGATAAGCTTGAATTTGATGGAGTAAAGCATTGAAATCATGAAGTTGGCATGATTTCCTTTATGTGCCTCTTAGCCATTTTCAAAGGAAGTATGTGCTATGAGTTACTGTTTTACAAAGCGAGCATACTTTTATGCGTGGAATGATATTCTAAGGTGTATGGACCTTCGCTTTGGTGAAATAAAAAAGAAAATAAGGTAAGCGCCTTTGTATGGCCTTAAAATGAGTTTTGGCCATTTTCAAATGAGGTATATGTTCGGAGATATTGTTTCGCAAAGTGAGGATACTTATATGCGTAAAATAATTTATATAGGTGGCTAAGCTTGGGTTTAGGCACTAGACAAAGAGAAATCTTATAGCTCCTTTGTAATGGGCATTCGGCCTTAAATTGGGAAAAATAGGCTTTTAGGTGCTAAGAGGAGTAATGAGTGTTCTAAAGGCCTTTTGGGACTATCCTAAGACTAAGTGAATATATGGAATTTTGTGGGGATTTGTTGAACAAAGAACCACTCACTCATGACTTAATATGATTAAGTAAAAAGAAAATAAACAATAAAGTGTGTGTCTTGTATATTTACATAGCATTATATCATTTTATTGAGTTTTATGTTGAATTCCTTCTCTAGGTGTACCTAGGGACTGTGAACGTTTGGATTCTCGTGGAGTATGATAAGTAGCTTGTTCTTCAAGTAAGCAGATTGTAAAGCTCAAAGATGTAAGCTCTATGTTTATGGGGTTCGCTCCTACTTTGTGTTCCGCCATAGTGTACGGACTGTGGTCAGGTTGTATGATATGTATGAGATATATGATATAGATGCATTCATATAGAGCTATATGATAATATGATATGTTTTGTTTTGATGTATTTACTTTGATATGTGTTAATATGATATGTTTTGTTATGATATGACTTCTGTAATATGATTTCTGTAACAATATCTGGCCATTGATTGTATAGTACCCGGATGTTCGCTTTGGGGTCCTCCCTCGGGACTGATGGTGTACGCCTTTGATATGTTCTGGTTCCGCTTTGGGGTCCTCCCTCGGGAACACGTGCGTTGATTTCCGCTTGGGGTCCTCCCTTGGGAATGACTGCGTACGCCTCTAATATGTTCTGGTTCCGCTTTGGGGTCCTCCCTCGGGAACACGTGCGTTGAATTCCGCTTGGGGTCCTCCCTTGGGAATGACTGCGTACGCCTCTGATATGTTCTGGTTCCGCTTTGGGGTCCTCCCTCGGGAACACGTGCGTTGATTTCCGCTTGGGTCCTCCCTTGGGAATGACTGCGTACGCCTCTGATATGTTCTGGTTCCGCTTTGGGGTCCTCCCTCGGGAACACGTGCGTTGATTTCCGCTTGGGGTCATCCCTTGGGAATGATTGCGTACGCCTCTGATATGTTCTGGTTCCGCTTGGGGTCCTCCCTTGGGAACACGTGCGTTGATTTCCGCTTGGGGTCCTCCCTTGGGAATAACTGCGTACGTTTCTGATAAGATATGTGTATATGTTTTGTTTGGTTATGATATTTGATTATATGACATGTTTTATGGGATATGTATGATGATTTTGTAAATGATATTTGTTACGTACGTTGATTTCCGCTTGGGGTCATCCCTTGGGAACGATTGCGTACGTCTCTGATATAACACGTTTTGTTCTGATGTGAGTATTGTGATGATTTTTGTAAAAGATATTTGTTACGTGTGTTGATTTTCGCTTGGGGTCATCCCTTGGGAATGACTGCGTTTGTCTTTGATAAGATATGTATATATGCTTTGTTCAGTTATGATAATTGTTTATATGGTGTTTTGTATATTATGTATCTGACTGTCATGCAGGAAGTGAGCCCAGGGTATGGAGGGTTTTCCATAAACCTGGAGTTTACTAGAGATTCGTCTCTAACCCCGTTTGGGGATATGATTTCAGGAACACAGTTAATTGAAGAGCCTCATGGGACAAGGACACTAACCGTGGCTAGAGGTACTAGTATGAGGATGTGGAGTTCTGGGTGGTCGGATGCTACTATTTGTTTTAGACGTATTTTTGGAGAAGATGTATTGTTGCATAGTGTTCATATTCGATACTTGTATATTTATGTATTCAGGCATGATGATATGACTATGTAGTATTCAGTTATGTTATGTATTGGATTGCATGCTATTAGATTTGTGGCACGGAGCCAAGTTCAGCATGCGCCCATAGATGGGTATCTGAGTATATTTGCATGACTGGTACTTCTGGAAATATATATTGTTTAAACTGTCTATCAGGAACTCTTGAGTGTGGGATTGGAAAATCCCCAGTTGTCCGATTTACAGAGGTTACTCTGTCCGATTTTCGTCTCCGTAAAATAAGAATTAAATTAGAAGAAGTATGCAATGTGATATGTCATGTGAAAAAGGATTAAAGAAAAAGAAAAAGTTAGTTCGTATTTTCGTAAGTTAAGTCTTCCGCTGTTTCTGTTTGTATCATATGTATGTTAATTGAACCGGCTCGAGACGGGGATGTTACAAAGTTCAAGTGAAGAATCACGACGCAAAATTGAATGCAACAAGCGAAGTCCAATTCCTTATTAGAATACTCTTTAAGGACATAGATATGATTATAAGGATATATTATATATTGCATTGCACGAGCTTAAATTATTTTTAAAGTTGCAGATTTTCAGTTTGCATACTAATTATGGATAGAACTTTCAAACATGAATGAAAGATGTTTTAACATGTTTTAATCTTATGAACATCTTTGCAATAGCCTCTTTTATGTTTCTAAGTGTGGAAACATGTTTGGATGAAAAAATGATGAGTTTGGGCAAAGTTCTTAACCTTTAGTAAAGTTTGGAATTGATTCCCTACTTATGGGAATAAATTCCCTCCCTAAAGGGGATCAATTTCCTTATACTTAAAAGGTTGGAAATCGATTTCTCTTGCTTGGGAAACAATTTCCCTTGCACTAGAAACAAAATAATGACTATACACGGTCATAAATGGTTAGTTTTTGGTAAAATCACTATATATATGTATTTCCTGTTGGTCTAAACAAGTTTGATAATCATTGTTACTCATTTTAAGGATATTTTGAGTGTATTTGCATTATCTCTTACATATCTTTCAATATCTTCCAAACATCATACATATTTGAGCTCATATTGTGAAAATTTCATATACTCATAGTGCTTTAAGTTGTGTATTCATCCACACTTTGAGAGTATATATTCATTTTCAAACATATTCCAAACTGAATTTTTGGATTGACTATAGTGAGGCCCAAAAGTGTAAAGGTTTCCAACTCATATGAAGTTTGAAGCTTGTTATAGGATTTCCAAGCACCCGCAAACTTGAAGATTTTAAGGTTTTCAAGAACTCGAAAGCTTAGAGGTTGTAGCAGTTTGTCAAGTACCCGTGAAGCTTGACCATTAGTAAAAAATTTGATCAAGCAACTCTATTCTAGACATAGGTCATAAGTGATTGTAATCGAATGAGGATAAATCTTAGTTTGAAATCTTTTTATCCTTTAACTTTTTTATTCTTACATCAAGTCCTTCTTTGATTCCTTGTATATGCTAATGTAGGCTATTTAATTGTTAGAAATTATGTATCTTGCTTTGCTTGAATGTGTTGAAGATCTTTTCAAATATCAAAACAGACATGAAAAGGTAATTAAGAAACAAGAAGGGGACATTTATTAAAAATTGTTATACTCAATTCGCTTCTCTCTTAAATATGTAAGCCACATTCTTAACAATTATTAAAAAGAAAATCAGTTTAATTTAAGGAAAAAATGTGTGTCATTTTAAAGGATGTAAAACTGTGTCATTTTAAGAGACAAAAAGAGATAGATAAAGGAAGATAGAGAGTTGACAAAAAATAAAATAAAAGTGTAGGACTGTAGGTTCCACCTCTTTATGAGAGTGAAAAGATATAAATTATGTCATTTAAAAAGATAAACATTCCACACCAAAAAAAAAGATAAACATTTTTTTCTTAATTTACAACGAAACATTAAACCAGTTCAGTTCGATTTTTAGTAAAAACGAACTGAATCACTCAATGAACACCTTTAAATATTGAATCCACAGCAATGGCTGAAATATATTGAATTTTAGGCTTCAATTCAGAAGCTACCATTTAGTCAAAAACAGTATTGTAACATCATCTCATATAATCATGAAACATGTTTATATATGAAAATGTATATTCTTAAATTATGATTAAACATATAACAAAGTGAAAAATTAATTAAAAATATATGCATAAACAACATAAAAAAACACAGTAGATATACTTGTTCCAAACACATTATTGTACCGTAGTGTTTGCAAATACATCATTAAACAAATTTTTTAGAATAATTAGTTGAAAAATGTGAAAAAGTATGAAAAAAAGAAGATATCTACTAGAAAATAATGATAAAATAGTAATATCATAAACTTTCCTATTTTGTATAATTTATAATGCAAGTACAGAAACGTCCTTATCCTAATCTTATTCAATTTTATACTTGTTAGTAGCCTGTGATACATTAATGAAACAAAAAAGTTGTTCGAAACTAGCGAAGAAAAAGAATATGTATCTAATGCTACAAAAGTCAAATGTCAATCAAATTCTTGTATATGTTTAAACAGAAAAATATGTCTACAATTACTCTGCAAATAAGTTATTTATATTTATTCTTAAAATAATATTATTTTAAGATTGAAATATTAAATTTTTTAATTATAAAGGCTATAATAACCCTGAAATAAATTAGAATTACAAAAATACCATGATTTATGCCCTAAAATGATGTCATGTTATTTTCACTACAAATAACTTATATGTAGTGACTGCAGAAAAAACGAACCCGTATTTAAAATGATAAAATGATAAGAAAGAATATGACGATATCATAATAATAAATTCAAATGCTGACTTTCCACCAATTTTTTTTTTCAAATGCTGACTAATATTTAATACAATATAAAAAGCGGTGAATCAGTTTATACTGCTGCGAGTTTAACAAATATTATACATATTTGCATCTAACATACTAATAAATTGGAATAGTTATAAGTCGATCATTTTTCATAAAAAGAAAATGAACATTAAATTTTGGGCAATATTACTCTTATGCAATAAGAATTTTTTTTTTATCTTATGTCCATACATCGATACTTGTGCCAATTATTTTTTATTATTTTTCTATTGGGCCCCGCTTTAAATTGAGTGTGTAAGAGATAACAAAATTTTTATATGACATGAGACTACAATTACCCTTAAATTTTTTATTAAAAAATATATAGATCAAGCAACTCAATCTCAATAGAAACATTAAGCCCAAAATAAGTTGATGCAAGCCCATTTCATTTAAATAAATAATTTATATAAAGTAAGAAAGGAGAAAGAAGGAAGGAGGTGTCTGAGAGAGAAGGAAAATGAAGATACAAAGCAGAAGAGAAGGGTGGTGGTTAGTAAGAAGGGTAGCACTGAGCCTTAACAGATTGAGTTACAGATTGAGTTACACAAACAGAAGCTTTTCTGTCTGTCAAAATGTCGTTCAGGATAACCACAATCAGGTCTCCCATTCACACACTCTTCTTTCTTTTCCTTATTATATTATATAATTAATTATTTGTATTCTCTCTCTCACTTTTGGATTCAAAATTCACAGGTTTTGGTTGAAGGAAATGGTTGCTCCAGAATCGCTATTCTCAATAGACCTTCTGCTCTCAATGCTCTCAACACTACAATGGTGATCACGCTGCTGATTTTTCCCTTACAAACCATTGTTATGTTTCAGTATCATATCATGTTCCTTTCCTCATAATATCGTTTTCTGTTTTGCGATTTTGTCTCGTTTTGCTATGTAGTTTTAGTTTTCACTTTGGTTTTTGTTTCTATTGTCTAGTATCATTATCTTTCTGCCAAGCATAGCCCTAGTTCAATGATTCCAATATTAGCTTCAGACTCTAAAGGTTTTGAATTTGTAATCGCTCAACATCTTTTGTTATATGATATTTCTTTTTTCTTTTTTTTTTTTGTGATTTCATACTCCCCGAGGGTTAGTAGAAATTGTGCTAATAAGTTTTTTTTTTTACTCACTCTGAAAAAATAAAATAAAAAATTTAAATTTTCTATGTTTTTATTTATTTTATTTTTTATCATATACATATATATATATTAATCTTACTTATTTATTATTTTTTTCTTAATTTTTTATTACTTTTATATGTCTTCATCGACCACCCTTCCTTACTAGTTTGAGAAATAGTTTGAGATAAAGGTGTAACGTGCTTTTACATGATACTTTTGGTTTCTCAGGTGAATACACTGCATAAACTTTATAGGAGTTGGGAAGATAACCCTGATGTTGGTTTTGTGATGATGAAGGTAAATATATATTTTCTATTATCTTTTTGCCCTTTCTAGATATTTTACATCCAATGTTAACAATGATCTCGTCTACTCATATCACGTGTATGCGAGACTCAACCTATGTTTTCAATTTTCTTAAGGGCAGTGGCCGGGCATTTGCAGCTGGTGGAGATATTGTTACGCTTTACCATTTGATAAACCAAGGTAAAATATCAAGAGTAAGATCCAGATGATGAGATTCCACACTGAATCTTATTCAATGGTCTTAGTTTTCTTCTTCTAGAATGTATGTTTATTCATTCACTTTTCAAAATGGTCATGAATATTCTCAGATAGTAGACCTCAGGAAGTATCAACGCTAATGTGGGGTGACATGATATGAATTGATGCATTTAAATGCCTTGGAAATTAAGATACAATATGGTTGATATCCTTAAATTAAATGCAAATACTAAGAGCTTAAGCTATTAGGTGGAGTAGAGGCCTTGGAATTGTCTTATATATCTAACAGTTGATAAGAGTTATAGTGTGTTGACTTTTGAATTAAAAAAAAATATAAAATGCTACAAGCAACAACTGTTCCTTGATTAGTTCAATGCCATCCTCTCACTCTTCTCAATCTGGATTTTGCTTATCTACTCTGTGCCTTCCCAAACTAGACAAATGCAGTTCATCTATTTTCAGTTTAACCTTTTATATGTGTGAGCTGATATCTTCATTTGCATTCTATGCTCCTCATGGTTATTTTATCTCAAATTATCTTCAACATATCTGAATTTGATCAAATTTTGTAGCCTCTCCTAATCTTTTAGCTGATTTTTATTTGTTTATTATTTTTTGGGTAGCTCTCAAGCTTTAGATATTTGAAGAGCTTATAAAAGTTCAAGAGTTTTTTTTGGGACTACTGCATTAGATAAGGGAGGAGAAGAATTTAGTTTTTAACATTTTCAAGTTCTTGCATTTTCTGGTCTAGCAAGACCCAACTCCCAGGAGTGTTTGGTAATTGTATTTTTGCTGCCTAAGAAAGCTTAAGAGAAACTTTAGGTTGCAACCATACCTTAGGTTTAAGATTTTTCATGCAATTTGGTTTTAGGTATTTTACCACTGCTCCGGTTTGCCCTCTGTTCCTTTGTGACTGAAAGATCACGGGTTCGAATTTGGGAAACAGCCTCTTTACAATTATTTGCAAGGGTAAGGCTGCGTACAAGGATTGCCCTCATCCTACACTCGCTAGTCGGGTTTAATTGTGGAGTTTTTTTTTTTGGTTTTAGGTATTTTCTCCCTTGTAGTTTAAATGTGTATTTTTCTAGTACATTTTAGTTACTTTTATTTTCTTTTATTTTCATGTAGTTATTTTAATTTTTTTTCTTTCAATTTATGCAGGTAACATGGAAGCCTGTAAAGAATTTTTTAGAAGAGTCTATAGTTTTATATACCTGATAGGTACATATTTGAAGCCACATGTGAGTACGGCCTTTGGAGGCTGATAAATTATTTCTGCTCTCTTTTTTAGACAATAAGTGTGATATACTTATATTTGTTGTCCAAATTTTGATTCAAAAGCATTGAAATACAGATGTTTGCAAATAACAGTTGAATAAGATCTTGTTTCCATTGACTCTATGATCCCAAGATTGTACAAATTTTAGGACTATAAGCGGTGATGCAATGCATTTCAAGTGATTCCTGATTCTCAAACAAAATAATAGAATATTAGTATTCTGTGTGAATAACTGAGGAATAAATGTTGCTGATAACAGAAGAGACTTAGGCAACTGTTATAAGAGGATCAGGACTCATTCTTCAGGAAGAAAGCTTACAAAGAGTACCTTGCATTTTTAGGATTTCTGAACCCTGCAATGTTGATGGTTGAGTGATACAGGCCACCCTCACAAGGTATACAAGCGAGATAAAAACAGAAAGAATTGGACCTCTCATATTTTAAGTGCATCTACTGCTGACTCAGAATCTTCACATCAGAATGCCCAAAATGACCCCCAACTGAATGGAGGTGTGGATGATCAAATAGTTACAATAGAGAGGTGTCGAGAGTTGGTTAAATAGTGGAATGGGAGAGAGAATAGTTATGCAATTTGGAAATTATGGAATTTGGACTCTAGGAGAGCGTGGAACCTCTACAATTGTTTCACAAGTTTCTTTACACGTTCTTTCTTTTTCCTTCATTCTGTAATCTTTACTAGTAATTCCTTGTTCTGTTCGTTACTGTCTTGTACTGTTTCTTTTAATATAAATACAGAAAATCTGGAAATTCTAGGGCAAAAACTTGTGTCTTCTCTGTTATTTTCTTGTTCCTGATTGTTGGACCTTATCATTGAGCCTTTAGAAATATGTTAGATTCTGATTTTACAGCTTAATGACTGGGATTAATCTGCTAGTAGTACACTGTCTTAGTAGAATAGGGAGAGGATTAAAGGGTAGAGATAAAAGTAGAAGAACAAAAATATACTAAATGAAAAGCTTACTAGTGTTGTAATTAATACTGAACCCTGAACCTCTATTTTTACTGATACTATGACTAGTCTGTCAAACAGCCTTTATTTTGGGTACTCTACATGTAGCCATCTTTCTAATCCTATAACACTTCTCCTAATCACTTAGTTCCTTCTTAAATTTCTCAAACTTTTTTCTTTTCTATGATAAGTGATACTGTCTTAATGCACAATAATAAACACCATCTAGGAAAATAAATAAATAAAAGAAAGCTTATGCTTTCAAGCTCATACACAATAAAAATTCAAAAGGGGAAATAAGTTATGGACTGCTGAGTACAGTATTTTAGCATGGTTAAAAATTGCAAGCCCACAGTAGTAGCATGGTTAAAACAACAGTATTACTTTTATTTTACTAGTTTGTTACCAATAAACTGAAGTTATGCACTAACGAACTTCATGTATTGAAGGTGGCTCTTAATAGCATTACCATGGGTGGTGGGGCTGGGATTTTAGTCCCTAGGACATTCCCGGTTGCAATAGAATTATTTGATACATTTCATTTATATTTGTATATTATTAAATAAAATAGTACTGATGTGCTATTATCCCATTCATCACACGGGCTTCAAGCAAGTTGTTCCATAATCTCAAAGCAATGTTCATATTTACTAGTTAGTTACAATTAAACTGAACTTATTCAGTAATAAACTTCATGCAGGTGGCTCTTCTGAATGGCATTACCATGGGTGGTGGGGCAGGAATTTCAATCCCTGGGACATTCAAAGTTGCAACAGACAAAACTGTATGTAATATAGAAACTTTCATAAATATGTACACGATAAACCTCTTGCTCAAAGCCTCAAATCTACGTTGTTCTCATTCTTGTACATTTTCTTATTAGATCATTATTGAGCATTTTGACAAAGCATGAGATAGTATTAATTATTCTTGTGTTTACCATGGATGAATTTGTTATTTGGAAGTTAGGATTTGTGATTTGGGAATTAGGTTGATTGTTAGGAATTTGGGAATTTGTGGTTTACATATTTGGGTCATGGGAGGTCTTCTTACTAGTTGAGTTGGGATTCTATTTTTATTTTAGATTTGGAATTCTTTAGTATTTAAGTTGGGTTACTTGTCCTAGTCAGTTCCAGATACACATACATATTGGGTCTATAAATATTAATACTATTGAATGCTTGTTGTGGGCATTTAAGTTGAAGCATAGAGCTCTTCTTCCTTAGTAGTATTTTTTGATCTATAAACAGAGTCATTTATTAAGCTACTTATGGATCCAGTCAGTTCTAGATACATATTGGATCTTTAAATAGCTACAGTCTATGTAATTTCAACAGAATTCAGTGAAGTAGAATTAATGAAATATATGAAAAAAAAATATCTATTGGTGTTCTTTCAACTTAGGATTAGTGTTATGAGCATCAAGGTAGTCAATTGCTTGCGATAGCGCTATTGCGTTGAGACAAATGGCAGTTGTGTGAGTTCCTTTACGTTGCATTTTGGTTTGCGCTCAAAATTGCTCTCAAAACGCATTCCTTCATGTTGCATTTTGGAGTCGAAGCCATTGACAAATTGCCATCGCAGCTGCTATGGTTAACTGGGGTAAAACCTTGATCATTCATGCAAAAACACTTAAACCCAACCTCTTTTTTGATTCTCTCTTTAGTTACTTTGTCGCTCGATTATTTTAACTCACAATATGTTTGTGTAGCATGCTACAGCTGTAGACATAGACTGTTTGTGCTATGTGTTGTGTACTCTGTAATCTGTACACACCACACATAATAATTTTGAATTTCTAGAAGTCTGTCTTTACTTTGAATTTCTACACATGGTTGCATATGCTGAGCTTCATCATAACTTACCCACATTTGCAGATTTTCGCTACCCCTGAAGTTCTTATTGGATTCCACCCTGATGCTGGAGCATCTTTTTACCTTTCACATCTACCTGGACACTTAGGTATGATTATGTGTATGTATGCCCCATCTTCTGCTTTAAGTTACTCAAAATCCCTCCACGTGGATAGGGAGATTATATATTATTCATTTTAACGGAGATAATCCTGAAAATATTTAATGTTGTACTTGTGACCCTGGTATCATGCATTCGGAGGGGGAGGGGCAGGGAGTAGCAAGTTTTGACAATTAGATATGGCTTAGTTGTTAGAACTTAAGAATGTGTTATAAAACAATTCATTGTTCTCTTTGGTCAGGAGAAACTCCTCTTTGATAAACGTCTTTTTATATTCAAATGATAAAAGAGTCTTGTCGGTACAACAATCAAATTTTGATGAGAAATATAGTTCCAATGATTGAACAGATTTTTGCACTTCATAACTGCTACTTCATCACAAATTGATGGTTTTTCCCATTGTGAAGGGTAGTTAGGTATGATCAATGGTTGTCATTAACTCATTTAAGTTGGGATTATTACTGTAATTCATAGTAGAAATTTCAGTGATATGGAGCTGAGTTACAATTCCTTTTACTCAACTCTATCACTTCTTTGCAAGAGATGGTTTTATACGGTGTTATTGTATGCAGGAGAGTACTTGGCTCTAACAGGGGAAAAACTCAATGGAGTAGAGATGGTTACCTGTGGGCTTGCTACACACTATTCACTAATTGCAGTTTAGTTCTGTTAAATCCCGTTTGCTTGTTTTATTTCAATTTAAATAGGCTTTTCAGGCTCTATAACATTCAAAAACATTGTTTGTTTTGTCCTATAGAGGCTTTCATTAATTGAAGAACAGCTGGGGAAATTGGTTACCGATGACCCGTCTGTCATAGAAACCACTTTAGAACAGTATGGTGACCTTGTACACCCAGATAGCAATAGTGTACTACGCAGGTTTGACCTGCCTTACATTCTATCTAAGGAGAATCTTTATTTTTTTATTTTGGTAAAAGAAAAAACAAAGAGCAGAGAGAAGGAGCAAGGAAAAAGAAATTGAAAAGTACTCTATGCAGAAGAGCCCTTCATTCACTAAAAATGACCATTGGCCGAAAGCCAAGAAGACAATAAGAAAATCATCTGATGAAAATTAAGTTATCAGGATGCTCTCTTTTTGTTACTTTGTCTCTTGTATGTTTTGACTCACAATATAAGATAGCCCTTATTTCTACTTTTCATTTTCTTCAGGATTGAAACTCTAGATAAATGCTTTCGCCATGACACAGTTGAAGAGATTGTTGATTCTTTGGTGAGATTTGCATCTCTGTTTATATTCAGAGCCTTCAAGACAGTTCTATATTGAGAATTTCATTTGTTCTTCACATATTGGATAAGAGTTTAAAACTGGACTTAAGTTATTAAGTTTTTCACTTTTATCAAATTCTTTCCAAAGTTCATGAAAATGACAAGAGAACTAGTGATTAAAATAAATCAAGAGTAAAAAATATAAACACTAAAGAAATCCCCTCCAGTATTTCTCCAAGAACTTTTGCATTCATAGGTAATTACAATTTACCCTCCTGCGGTTTGACTCAAAATTACTTTGCCCCTTGGTAGTTTCCTCTATTAAATATAACCACCCTGTGGTTTTTCCTCATCAACTTTTCAACAAAAAACGTGTTAGAGCTGTAAAACAACTTCTTAATTGACTTAGAAACTTCCATAGAGAAAATCAAACATTCAAGTACCAAAAAAGTGAGGGGAAAAAAAAATCAAATTCCACATCAAGAAGAGTATGATGAACAAATGATCAAATTGTATTGAACCATCTAGTCCAAAAGTTTAAGCTATTGGAAGAATTACCTGTTTTGACAGAACATCCATTTGTTTGGGGGAAGAAGTGAGGGAATTCATGGCACCGTTGTTATGGAGAGGGAAAAAGAAACTTGGTTGGAACTTCTTTGGTTCCTTAAACAAAGAGTTCTGATGATAGTTCTACATCAAAAAATGAAACTGAAGTCAGAGTACAAAAGGGTCTTGGAAAGGCTAGAGATACATATTGTTAAAGAACCAATTCAACCCAAAAGTTTAAGCTATTGGGTGAGGCTACATTAATGGTTTTATATATTTCAACACGTCCCCTCACACGAGAGCTCACTGGGCTTGAAGGGTGGACAATGCACAGGTCCACTTACCTGTGCGAACAAAGAAATTCCACTTGAAAGAAAGTGGGGGGCGGCGAGGATCGAACCTGGGACACGAGGCTCTGATACCATGTTAAGAACCAATTCAACCCAAAAGTTTAAGCTGTTGGGTGAGGTTACATTAATGGTTTTATATATCTCAACACGCCCCCTCACACGAGAGCCCACTGGGCTTGAAGGGTGGACAATGCACAGGTCCACTTACCTGTGCGAACAAAGAAATTCCACTTGATCCACTTGAAAGAAAGTGGGGGGCGGCGAGGATCGAACCTGGGACACGAGACTCTGATACCATGTTAAGAACCAATTCAACCCAAAAGCTTAGGCGGCGAGGATCGAATCTGGGATACGAGGCTCTGATACCATGTTAAGAACCAATTCAACCCAAAAGCTTAAGTTTAAGCTTTTGGGTTGAATTGGTTCTTAACATGGTATCAGAGCCTCGTGTCCCAGGTTCGATCCTCGCCGCCCCCCACTTTCTTTCAAGTGGAATTTCTTTGTTCGCACAGGTAAGTGGACCTGTGCATTGTCCACCCTTCAAGCCCAGTGGTCTCTCGTGTGAGGGGGCGTGTTGAAATATATAAAACCATTAATGTAGCCTTATCCAATAGCTTAAGCTTTTGGGTGAAGCTACATTAATGGTTTTATATATTTCTACACATATAGAGATTTCTTTGGGGAATTGAAAAAAGAGGAGGACAGAGTGGATTCACTGGAAACCCCTTGTGAGGATAAACTGAAGGAATATGAGGTGGTTGAGAGGAGCACACCTACAATTAATTGTGGAGCAAAGGAGAGATCACATGGTAAGAAAGTTGACAAGCCATTAACAGCTAAAGTATACCTTGATCAAGTAGTATAGAGTGCGATCCTTGCTACCCCATTTCTAATAAAAATAAGTTGTAAAAGAGCTATCAAATTCTACAAATAAAGATGGCTTGTCTCACTTGTAATATTCTATAAAGAAAAACTTAGAGTCATAAGTGAAAAGTAGGAGCTTAAATGATGTGAACAAATCTGTTGTGAGTGAGGCTGTTGTAATCTGGCTAACTATATTTTTGCCAGCTGGGCATCATTAACATCTATGCACCACAGATTAAGAAGTGTTATTGTCCAATAAAAATAAATATAAGTGGGATGACTTGTATGGCTTGTGCTTGTATTCTGCCATGTGTAAGTTGAGAATAATGGTCTTTATATGAACTGTTTCCCAGATGTCTAAAAGGATAAGTGCCCCAGATTGCACATTGCTTATATTAGAGAAAATTATGAATGGGGATATCTAGATATTATTAGTCTCCCTGTCCTGTCCTGTATATTTATACTCAAGAAATAAAGACCAGTACAAGAAAGATAGGCTCAGCCCAACTATTTTCTATTACGTTACTGATGTCATTTTAGAATCACAAGAAAATTAAAGATATATTCATTTGCAATACCAAGCTTGTTGAGGGCTTTGTCAAGATATACAGAAATCTCTGTCAAGTTTTTTGTAGGAAGATGTAAATTTCTTATCCTCCTAGCCCTCCCTTCTTTTTCCTCTTTTCCAGATTTGTTTTAAGAGAAATCAACTTGTCATGTTGTAGGAAAATTACTGTTCATACCTGCAGATAGAAAACCTTGGTGGGACCCACTAAAAATATTAAATCAAAAAAATAAATAAACACAATCTCCATTTTCGATGTCTCTGCAGGTATGAACAGTAATTTTCCTACAACATGACAAGTTGATTTCCCTTGTTTTAAAAGGAGAGGGGGTAAAATAAAATAATGTGAAGGAAAATTATTTGTACCTGTTTACTGTTTTCTTATCTATATTGACGGCAGTTGGAAAATATGTTTTGGTGTCTCTTACATGTCCTCCTTTCTTTTGTTTGTGCGGGGGCTTGACTCTATGGTGAACATTTTTTCTTTTCATTAGGAAATTGCAGCAAGTGAAACAAATGATGCATGGTGCATTTCTACCCTAAATAGACTTAAAGAAGCTTCTCCATTGAGCTTGAAGGTTTCCTTGAGATCTGTGAGTTCCTTTTGCTTGTCTAAACCCTTTGAATTCCTGTTATTTTTGCTCTTCTTTTCATATAAGAAACTGCTTTTATAATGTAATTTTTAGGAAACCACCCTTTACTAAGGTGTATTAGGAAGTGGCATTGAGGATCCGGGCCTTTTAATGTAACAGTTTACATGAAAGGCAATCAAGGGGGAATTGAGACCTCCGGAAGGGAACATTGATATAACAGATTGCCAATGAGGCAATCAAGGGAATTGGGATATCAGTAACGGATTGCCAGGAGGCAATAAAAAATAAGGAGGGATAGTTGACCTGTATGGATATTAGAAGGGGAGAGAGGAAAAAATAGAAAAGGCAGGAATAAAGTAGAGAAAATTAAGGGAGAGTGCAGGTCTCTCGTTTCAGTCTTTATCTTCCATTGTAAATCAACCCATGGGTACTGAATCTACTGATAACACATTCATATTAGTATCCACAGAAGAGTAATATAGAGGGTTTACTAGATCTGAGTGTTTTATCCAGTATCTGTCAGCTATCCATTTAATTGGTGCAGATACAAGAAGGTAGATCTCAGACCCTTGATCAGTGCTTGTCACGTGAGTACCGTATGACTTTACAAGGAATATCTAAGCAGATATCTGGTGACTTTTGTGAGGTATTAAGCATTGTAAATTTCTGGAAATTGAAACAAACTTATTCTTTCTTAACGTTAGGTGATTTGAATTCATTTTAGGGAGTGAGGGCACGTGTGGTGGACAAGGACTTGGCACCAAAGGTACCAATTGTTTGCGTAAATTGCATTACCTTATCAAAATGAGACTTTTGCCTAATTGTCAATATGTCATCTGTCAATGATGGCAATTCTATTACAATTTTTTATTTCAGATTTGAAATTCATTGGCTCATTGTGATCAAATGTTGTTAATGGTTTTCTTCGCATTTATGTTAAAAAGCTATATTTGATATACAAATTTTTATTCGCTTGTCAATCAAATATATGCAGTGGGATCCTCCTACCTTGGAAAAGGTGTCTCAAGATATGGTGGATCAGTACTTTTTACCTCTAAGTGAATTTGAACCTGATCTAGAGCTGCCCACAAAAAATCGTGAAGCATTTTTATAGTTTTCCTTTCTCCCAAGGTGCTGGGAGCTTCCAGAATTAGACAAATAGATATATACCATTGGTATTTTGCAGGGCAATGGTCAAGCTTGTATGTTTTGACAATCTGATGGTAGCTTCTGGTGGATTACCACAATAATATGTAAGGTTGTACCAGCTCTGGATTGTGAAACTTTAGTCATTGTTTGACAAAAGTAATAACAGAATAGATATGCCATGACCAATTCTTAATGTATATCTTCCTGAAATTCTTTAGGGTGTGTTTGGTATAAGAGAAATTATTTAGTCTCTGAAAATCACGATTACTGGAAATACGATAGAAATTAAGTTTACCCGGAATGTTACGAAAAAGGTGTTTGGTTCGCCAAAATATTACCGGGAATATTGGGTAAAGATTGTTGTTTTTGTCTGAAAAATTGTTGTTCTCCTTTCCCTTCACGTTGGAATCATGATTACCATATTACTTTTGGTAATTTTCTTTGTAAATGATATTACTGGTAATTTAAGGATATCCGGGAATTGGGTTTGTTTACTTCTACCAAACATGACAATTTACGTTTACCAGAGAAGGTTTACCAGTAATCTTTCAAATACCCTTGTACCAAACACACCCTTAGGGTTACCCTAGAGGTGGCAAAGTGGGCGGCCCACCCCGCCATCAACCCGCCAAAAAATGAGTCAGCCCGCTCCGCCCCGCTTTTGAAAGTGGGCTGAAAAACTCAGCCCGCTCCGCCCCGTTTGGCGGGTTGGGCGGGTTGGCCCGCCAGCCTGAGCCTATTTTACACTGACCTTCCTCGGCCTGCCTATTCCCGCCATTAACCTGCCAAAAAATGAGCCCGCCCCGCCCCGTTTTTGAGATGGGTTGAAAAACTCAGCCCGCCTCGCCCCGTTTGGCGGGTTAGCCCGCCGAACCGAGCCCGTTTTGCTGGCTCTGCCTAGCATATTTACTTGTCGTCCGGCTCTCCAATTTATGTGAATGATTGATGACTATATGGATAGAGCTAACACACTTTTATTTTAATTTTTTCAGGAAATATTAAACGCATTAATTTGTTTAATAAATGACATGAATTCTTTGGTCTAATTTACTATTTTAGCTTGTGATAGGGTTGGTTTATATATATATATATATATATAAAGGGAAAAATACTTCTCATATTGCATTTGAAGTGTTTTCTCATGTTGTGATCCTTTCATTTACGTGCAAAGTTTTTTTTTTTTTTTTAAATAAGTGTGGGACCCATCACTAGTTGAGTCTTAACATGAGAAAACATTTTTCATACAACATGAGAAGTGTTTAACCTATATATATATAGAGGAAAATAATTCTCCCGCCGTAGAAAAAATATGTTCTACTGCTAGTGAGAGGTTGTGATTTTCGTGCCAACATTTCATTTCTTTTTCTTTATTTTTAAAGCCAATGGGACCCACTTTATTGTATATGCTGGAAAAAGTTCTCTTTATATTTCAGGAGAAGATGCAACTCCATATATATGATTACATTGTTAGAGCATTTGAACCTAGAGAAGTAAAAAGCACTAGATTGATGTTCTGCTCTTGCTGGGCTTATCTTCCATCATGTTTGCTCTTGTTACTGCAAGCTGTGTCCTGCTCTTCTAATTATTGGTAATCATGATTGGGTAGATATGCTGATTGCCTCTTTTGAGTCTTTTGTTCCCTTCGTTGGCTGAGTCGGCGTTAAAATGTCTTATATGTATGTCCGTAATTCATACAAACTTTTATTATGGTCTTCAACTTTTTAAACAAAACAGTTTTCGTAAAATTAGCATTTGAGACATTATGTTTAAATCAGTTTAGTCAAATTCTTATGAAACTGGCTTGTGTAGTATTTGACAATTTGGTTCTTTAACTCCAAGTGCTTTCAAAATCGATTGTTGTTGGTTGCTTGATACGTTTCCAATACTTGAATTTGTATTGGTAGATTTCAAGGCTTGCACATGACCTAAAGACTTAGCTGTTTTCATTTACCCTTAGAACTAATATTGTTGCTTTAGCTTCATCCACAGTTTCCACTAGAAACCATTTGTGTAAAATTGTCTTGAAAACAACTTTGCTCAGTACAACAAATCATTGGTGGTAGTTATATATTTCTCAATACAATCATCTCTGAATGCTTGCATAGCAGCACTGAGAGATACCCAACCATCTGCTAAAATGCCCACACCTAATGGAGACGATGTTAATCCCCATGACTAGCAAATTTAGCGGATAATGGATGCTTCTATACTCCTTTTCTCCAATGATCCTTCTTACCTAGTGTCTGCTTTCTATGCCAACAAAAAAAGGCCTTTTAGATTGCTTGAATTATCTCTGTGATAGTAGACAAAGCCCAAAATTTTCTCTTAGGTGTGTTTGATAGTCGATATTAAGAGGGAAAGTGAAGGAAGAAGAATATTTTGTTTATATCTTCTCCTTGAATGCGAGTTTTTAAAAATGGGGAAGAGAATAAGAGATTTTTGTAAAACTCTCAAGTACCTTTTTTACCCTTACTTAAAATTAGAGTTCTCCCAATTTAGGGAGATTGAGAGGGAAAACATAGTAAATTACTTACGTGCCTTTATTCTCTTTTCAACTTTTTTGATTTTCTCTCATTCAATTTAGAAACAATCAATCATCACACACACAATCAAGAAACAATCAATCATCACACACACATACACAAAACCATAATGACAACCCCTTCTTTATTTTACCTTCCGTTCATGCTTTGATCTCTTCTCTCTTCTCCCATGTCTAAGAGAGAAAAAAAATAATTTTAAAAGAGAAAATAGTTTTTTTAGAGAGAGAATCATTTTTAAATATGTTAATTGCATAAATAATTTTTTTAGAAATTTTAAATTTATTTTCATATGTAAAATATAATAATTATATTAGTTTTTAAGAAATGGTAAAATATTGAAAATATATCATTAATTCTTCATTTTTTTTCTCGGTCATAATTTTAACTCTCAAATAAGAAGAAGGTAATACCCTTTATTTTTCTTCCCTTCATTTTTATAGCCATTCATTTTTCGCTACTTGAATTTGTCATCTAAAGGAAACAAAATCATCCCTAACTCATGTTGTGTGACTGTTCATTCTCGATTGACATCCAAACTCCTTGCTCCTTTACTTTGAACTCTTGCAGATGGAGTGCACCAGCGTTATAAACAAGTTATAAAGTAAGGTCATGTTGCCTTAGCCCAATGTTGGGGAGCTGAATTTGGTTTATAAACACAAATACACAATTAAAGCTGCATATGATTGATAAGTTATTTTAAAATTAAAAAGGGATATAAAGGAAAAATCGGAGTATATATCTCTTAAATAATGATGTATACCCACACAAAAAAAATTGTTTCAGTGAATAAATCAAGTACATAGTTCTCCAAAGTTATCAGATATAAGTACTCAGACAAAAACTAAGTATTCAACTGCACTTCTCTCACAAATTCTGTTGGTAGTTTCAGCTCAACAAGCATAACTAGTTCTAAAATAACCTGTCTGGACGCAGCATAAAACTGTTGCACGGGGTAGACTATGAAGGAATGAGGTCCTTATTATATTGAGTGAAGGAAACAACATATATGCAATATGCTGTTTATAAAAATATGAGAAACAAAAATGTAACAGACCTGTTCAATTCACTGGAATCAACAGCATGAAAATCACCTGTCAAGACAACCTGGAGATTTTCAAGTAGATGTCCAACCAATTAAGGAACCCATATATGATGGGCAATTAAGTTTTCCATAGCAAATATAATAGGTTTAATCCCATTCACATGCTCAAATTATACAAACTACAAAATAAAAATAAAAATTCTAGATTATTATATTTATTGACAGAGTATAGCACTCTAGATTTTCAATTATACATATCCATCACACATGACCCTTGTTGCATTGAAACTACGAACCGAGGCATGTTCCTTCCTAGTCTATGACTCCATTACCAGTTGACCTCTGCCAGCTAAATTGACAGTAAATTGTTAATGGAGCAGTCAACGCATTACCTGACAAGATTCTTTTGATGGAAACGACCACTGAATTATACAATCAATAATGCTGCACGCCTGCAGCTACCTATCAATTGAATAATGTGACATATTATCTCAGCTTTTCATCATCATCATTACTACCGTTATTACTATTCATTTAACCTTATTTTCTTCTTGCACTCATACTTTTTGATTCTATCACCCCATAGCTTCCAAATAGAGAGTTTTATTTTTCTCTTTTTTTGGGACAAGGGCAAATTAGTAAATTCAACGGCCTTTCCCTCCAAAAGAGTCACGGTAGGTCCACGTAAAAGCCACTTGTATTAAAACTCAAACATTTTGAACATGGATCAGGGTGTAGATTGGCATGGAATGTGCCTAAAAACTTACAGTTTAGGTAGAAAGTGCAATTGAGGCAATAGATCAGGGTGGATATGTGCATTTTAGCCAAAAATAAACTGAAAATATAGACCTTAATTAGAAAGAATAATTAGGCAATAATGAAAATTTCCCACTCGAATCGGTAGCTTCTTTGAAATCCTTCTAAATTGCTTTAATAAAATTTAATGGTATAGCTTGTCCAGCCAGCATGTTCTCAATTTGCAACATAGTTGATAACCCTGCTTGAAGCGGTTCAATAAACCTGCAAACAAATATACAACATATGTAATTAAGATTGTTAGAGTTATATAAAATCATTAACGTAGTCTCACCTAATAATTTAAGTTTTTGGGTTGAATTGGTTCTTTACATTGTATCAGAACTTCATGTTACGAGTTTGATCCTCACCGCCCCCATTTAATTAATTCAATATTTTGGGTTGAAGATTCTCCATTGATGAGTGAAAGAGTGAATCATAACTATTTTGAGCTAATGGGCCCATTATGTGTTAGGCAAACATATTCACTTAAAACGTGAGGTGTGAGTTGTGTTTGTGCAAAGAAATGATATCTTTTATAATGATGTCACTTTATAAATGTAAGAAAGTGACCCCTTTTACGAGTCCTAATGGCCAACCAATTGAAGACTAATGCATTTTGTGTTTAGTAAAATGTCACATGTACTATCAACATTATCCTTGAAGTTAATTTACATCATAAATTCCAATGGGGTCAATAGATGGATAATTATGTGTTAATTAATTGGAAAAACTTAAAAACATCACTTCTTCAGCCACAACTGTACCAATTAAAGAAAATATCAAGTGATTATTTG